AAAAATGGCTGTTTCTCCCAGAGAGTCGAGACTGAAAATAAACCGAATCAAGTTACACAACCAACAGTCAGCCAAGCTTGAAAACACCTTAGAAACACTTTACAGTTATTTTAGGAGTGTGACTGCAAAATACTGTCTGACTTTGGTCAAATTGTTTAGGGCTATATTTATTGAATGAGCCATAAACACAAATATGATGCTTTGCTGTTGTGCTGTGTGGGAGTTTGTTTGTTTTTGATATCCTGTATGGTTTTGTTGAGACACGGAGGCAGATTTTTCTCTTATCTTCGGACCCTTGTGCTAAATAAGCTTTGCACCCCTGTGACTTTAGATTGCTCTTGTTGTCATGTTGCTGTTTGCTCATGGAGCTCCTGTCAGTATGACTGGACGTGTTTCGCTGTTGAAGTATGCGTATGCTTGACCAGAGAACTCAAACTTAAAAGTTGTTTTAAAGTTCAAAACTTTAGAGGGCTAAAAAAAAAAAAAAGAGCATATAGCACATCTTAAGTAAACTGCGCTTCTGTAAGCAAAGTTTGTGGTACACTTTTTATCTGATGTTTGAGATAAGTGTAAGTGAAGAGGATCAAACACCCAGAACTTGAAAGTCGAATGAAATCCCATCATTATTATTAGGTGCAGTCATACATTTTAGGGACAGTGGTCATAAAAATCAAAAACCTACCTGATGTAAATTTGATGTCTCTCTCCTTCAGTCATTTCCTTGTGTATCTGGAGTTTATGTTTGTTTGTTTGTTTTTTTTAAACATCGCTGCCTGGAAGGCCCATTGTGCACAGAGCAAACATCAACTTATGTGGCAAAGGATCAACCCTGGTAATGAGAGCTGATTCTGTAGCTACAGCCCGGAGAGACAAATAGCAGTTTTAAGATGATGACTTCAGGTTTCTTAGCATATCAGGATAAATGCATGACCTGAAGCATCCTCTTGTTGTGTTATTCATTAACACAACAACTCCAAATCCAAAAAGTTGAGATGCGATGTAAAAACAAAATGGAATTTTGACTTTGGTGGTAGCAACACATCTCAAAAAAGTTGAGATGTGGTTTCTTTGGGGTTGTGGTTTTTTTTTTTTTTTTAACAGCGCTCTGTAAACATCTGGGAACAGAGGAGACCAGCTGCTGGACTTTTGTGAGAGGACTTTCCTTCTGTTGTCTGATGTAGGATTCTAGCTGCTCAGCAGTTCTGGTTCTTCTTTTCAAATTGTTTGTTTCATGATGCACTAAATATTTTAAAGTGATAAAAGGTCTGGTCTGCAGGCAGGCCGCTTCCCTGAAACAAAAATGCAAGTCAACACGCTACCAATTTGACACACTGGAGGAAAAGCTGTGCACTGAGATGCAGAAAAGAAAGATGCTCATGAAGGGGAGGGGGCAAATTTAACTAGAGGATTTTTATATTATTTTTTAACACCATGCTATGGTAAGGTATTTTCATCCATCTGTTTACAGTTTACAAGAATCTGCACTTCTAGAGTATTTTTAAGATTTTTGTAAAACCTACACACACCAACCAGCTAAAGGGTTTTCACCCAAACTGTCCTCAAGGTCAAGTTTATATTTGTCATTTCACAGCTTTTTTTTTTTTTTCTTTTTGTGACTTTCCTGTCACCATTCTATTAGGATCTGGTCATAGGGTCAATGCTGCGACATGTTGATGTGTTAAGTGCGTCTCTGTAATCATAATATTCCTAAACTCAACCACTTTTATTTGGTGATATATTTAATTGATATGATTGTTTGCGAGGGTCCTTCTCTTATTCACACTCATTGTGAAGTAGAGCCAACCAATGACAAGAAAACTCATCAAGTTCTCTGTGTACTTTACACACTGCAGTAACCTGTGAATTGTGATGGATCGTGAGTCAGATAAGGAATTACAGCATCGATGTTCAGGTTTTGTGGGTGGAGTCCCAGAATTTATAACTGCACTTTATATTGTCTTTGTATATAAGAGATTAGAGGTCTAAAAAGTGGCAAAAGAAATGCACGAAGTGCTAAACAGGATTCGTCTTGTTTTTTCTTGCAGAGTGAATCTTTCTTTTAATACTATTAAGCAAATAGATAGGGAAATGAGGAGTGTGTGTGTGTATATGAGCATATAGAGCCATATAACACTGTTTTTATTATCTGTTTAAGAACAGATGAATTCAGTAATAAAAGCATGTAAACAAATTATGCATGCTTGTCAGATATTACAGAAGCAGCATATCGTACGACGCTTCCCTTAGTTTATGTTGAGATTTAAGTGCTAATGCATGATATGAATGAATTTGTAAAACATGAATGTTTTTGTGCTTTTTAGGTTCCATTGCAGCCGCATTGTTCATCGCCTTTTTGCTTGGACTGTATGCTATTCTGTGGAAGTGTATGGTGTCACCGCCACAACGGTAAGGAACGGGTGCAAGTTGAAACTTGATTTTGCCGAAGCTTCTGTTGGATCTTGTTGACACTGTAGTCGAGCAAACAGCAGTTTGTTCACCTGCTTTTAGGGGTCACACGTCTGAACTTTGTATCTGAGCTCGTCACAAAAACACAAATTGTGCCCCATTTCTTGATAAGCACCTATTCCATTTCACTGCTTTATTGCATGCAAACACACTCATTTGTGTTGGTTGTCTCGTTTTTTTTTTCTCTCCAGAAAACACAACAAGTTGAGGGTAAGAGTACATCAGAGAGCTTCTATGTGAAGACATGGACGATATCTGGCAGCTGTTCTGTTATCTTGGATTTTAAATTTCATGGACATTGGCTAAACTAAATGGATGAGCCACATGTGCCTCCTCAGCTTTACGGTCTGCTGGTGGCTTCTGTTTACTTAAAGAGTCATGGTGACGTTAAACACTGTTTTGGCAGGTCAGTCTGCTTTTTCTGTTTTCTGTGAATTATGCACTACTGAGGGAGGCTACAACTCGCTCCAGTGACTATTGAGCTGCATGTAAATGACTCTAAGACAGAGAGAATATAGTATTTTTTTTTTTAGTATATGTAGCTATTTTAGCTTTTTATTTCTCAACTGTACCAAATGGATCTTTATATTTTAAGCATGTGTCCTTATTTCGTTTTAGCATTTCTTTATAATATTTTGGATTTGATTATCAGATCAGAGTAGCATTCACCATTTTATCCTGTTCTGTCACCTAGTGGTGCCTCAGACAAGCTTATGTGCACAATTGCTCCTCAGGATTTTGTAACTACTGTATGAGTCTATAATAAAAGTATTTTTTACATTTAGTGGATGCGACTGTTTGGTGAATCTAATCAACTACTTTCTTTGTTTATTTTAGGTGTTTATAATATGGGCTGAGTAAAGTTCTGAGTCAATAGTTTCAATATCTCTCAGGCTGTACAGCACCTGTTTTTCTTTCTTTTGGTCTTTTTTTCTCCAGAATTCATGCAGAAATGTTAATGAAAAAAAGTAATCGACAGCTTAAGTGCTCATGTGACTGTAATGAGGAATCTATTCTGATTTACCAGTCATGTAGTCCTGTGTGACTCAATTTAAATCTATGTGAAAGAAGCAAAGGAGGAGAAAAAGTATTTCTGGTCTTTTCTATGCTATACACATATACATATGCTATACTGCATGTCTCTGATGAACCACATTTTCTTAAGTCTGAGCAGTTATTTCTGTCATATCAACTCAGATGTGACTCATTTTAACCATTTTTGACACTTGGCTCTTCATAACGAGCAAATGTGGGGGAGAAGTGTCAGGTGGAGGAAGCTTGAATAGATTTCAGTAGAGATACTGAAACTTTTGATTTTAAATATGAATATATATGATACTCCACATTTGAATTATCCAAACCAGTCATGGCTTGATTGCATTTGATTTAAAGGCATGGAAAAAAGGCAGATGTGTGGTTTGATTAACAGCAGAAACAGTGAATATACAAGGATAGGACTTGATTTAATTAAGATGTCCTAATTGTCATGTTTTACTTTTTATGAAAAGTATTTGGTGAATGTGTGAGTTCTGCCTTATACAAGGTATTATTTGAACAACCTGTCAGAAGGGCATTTTTGCAACTTTGTGTTAGTTACTAAAACTAATATGAGTACAAATACTTAGTACTTACAATTTGTTTTTGACCAATAGTTGAAACAGTTTATAAATCAACATGTTATCAAAAGGTGTGATCTTAAAATAGAATCATAACTGGAGTCTGAAATGCTATAGACTTCACTCAGTTTCCTAGAAGGCTTAGAAATAACTGAGCTAAAAAAAACCCCCCACTAATTTCAACTGTAAAATGTAAATGTGCAAGACGATAGAACACAACCTGAATCTACTTTGTATTAAATTAGATTATGAGCTGTACCCGGTGTGCTAACTGCATAATAACTGTATAGAACACAATGCATGTAAACTTAGGTGAGAATTTGCTGAACAACCTGTTACAACAAGTAGACCTGAGCTGAAGTGTAAAATTCCAATTATGAGTCACTGATCGAGAAATTCCAGAGAAATGATGATTAAACATTTCCTCTAATTTTCCTTTTTTTTTTTTTTTTTTTTAATTCAACCTTCATGACAAAAGAAAACTGATATTTTAATAATGCTTGAAAATAAAAAGAAAGCCATTTAATAGGATTCTGAAAAGAAAAGAAAACAAGTTGAGCCAAGTTAATCTAGTGTGAATGTGAGCATGCATGCCACAGAATCAGACAGGGCTGGGATGTCTAAAAGGATATGGAGAAAAGGTGAAAAGATGGCTGTGTTAAAAATTCCTAAACTAATACCTCTAATAATGTTCTTACATTTATATAGAAAAGCACTTTATTCATGTTTTCATTTCAAAGGACACATGAGTCACCTGCTGAACCAAATGAGCTAATAGCAATGCGACACGAGTCGCGTTTTTAACTATAGATTCATATAGCATGGCACTTCAAGCATTATACCTACATCCCATTAACTTCTGCATCACAAGCTATGTTAAAAAGTCATGCTCAGAAAATATGCAAACATCTAAGCCTGCTCATCTACCTTATCTGTTGCAGCACTTACATCCTGTAGATAACATCTCCAGTTCCTTCACAGTTGAGCAAAATCCTGAGTTTTTGTTTCTCTTCTCACATCAAACTTTAGACAATCTGATTTGAGTTTTGTGCACTACTAATTCTTTGTTATGATAACACCCATATAATATCATTTTTAAACAAAACCACTTCTGCAATTTACAGTTTAGCATGAATACAGGATAGCTGATTCACAATATGTCTAATAAACAAATTCTGTATTTACGGTATGGGACAGGAAGAAATACTGAGTCAGACTTGACTCAGTATTTATAAAGAATCATTGGCGATATAACCATATATGACACCACATGATTCAAGGGGGCAGTCAGAAGCTTCAAAGCTTGATTTGGTTTCACTGAATACAACGTTAGGTGGTTCAGAGTAACCCTCCTTCAAAGTGTATAAGTAACTCCTGTTCATCAGGCTTGTGACTTGCTGAGAGGCTGGTCTGTCCCAGGGCAGAGTAGCTAACTGTGGACAGTAATTTGCTTCGAGCAGCATGCAAGAAGGTGATGAAGATGAAAGCGAGGACTGCAAACTAGGAGAGCATGGTTCATTCATAAGCTCAGAATCTCTCAGTGCGGTTATTTCATTTAGAGAGGGTCTGCCATTCAAAATCTGGATGTCACAGCTGATGCACTCCTCTGGCTTCTGAGACTGCAGCCACTGATCAGTCTGTGCAAAGAAGATATGATAACTTAAGTAACAGGCACAAATCCAAATATAAACACAAACCTAGTTAGGCGGGGGCGGGGGAATCAAAGGTTTAGACTGATGGTAGCAGCATGTCTCAAAGCATCTGAGAGAGGCAGTGTTTCTCAGAAGTAAAGATAGGCAGAGATTCACCAATCTGTTTATAATGTTTGGACAACTAATGAAAACTTTGATTATTATCTTATTGGATGGCTTTAAATTTTGGGCCCTCAGGTGAAATTGACTTAAAACAGGCATGATTCATTCCTGCAAATCACTGCAAGGGCACTGGAAGACTTCCAGAAATCTTTGACAGGTTACAGTTCTACCATGCAAAGAACAAGCCAAACGTGAAGACAACACAGAAATGCTGTTGTCTTCTGTGGACCTAAAGAGGAGAAGGACCGTTTGGTTTGTTATCTGCACTCAGTTCGTAACCCTGCATCTCTGATGGTATTAGGGGGGAATAGGTGTCTATGCAATTGATCTACACGTTTTGGTGCAACACTGTCACCCATTCAGACATCTTTCTCAGAGGAGGCCTTACATATTTCAGCAAGACAATGCTAAACTGCATACTGCAGTCATTATAACAACGTTGCTTTGTAAAGGGAGAATCGGCTGGCTGAACTGGCTTGCCTGCAGTCCATCAGTGGAAAAACATTTGGTTTATGATGAAACAAAAATATGACAAAGACCTAGGACTGCTGAGCAGCTAGAATCTTGTGTCAGAAATAGATATCATTCCTTCCTAGGCTGGATATTTCCTCTTTGTGCATTTTTTTTTTTTTTTTTTTTGCTCTCTGTGATTAGCTCATACCTCATGCAGGAAGCTTTCGAACTCTGGAGTTTTAATGTTCATATCCACAGGGTAAATAAATATCTCCTTCAGCCTGCTCCTCACACTGAAACAGATAGTTTCTTTTTTTTTAAAGAGTTCAAAATGGTTTATATCATCATCTTCAGGATTCTATCTTTAGGTCTCTATTGAAAGATGACCTTACTCACATTTTCACTTGGGACCACAGGAGAACAGTGAAGCCCATGAGTAAAAAGATGGGAGTCAGTACCTTGATTATGAGAGAAGAGTCTACAGGAGGAAAAAGAAGTTGAAATTAATTACTTCATGCACTGGAAGTTGACATCTTCTATCAAAGGTTCTCCCAGGAAAGAATACAGTTCAGTAGCGGTATCTCTGGGATCCCCCTGCGTGTTTTAAAACTCACAGTTGCTTTTGGTTCTGAAGGTAATGCTGGCTGGTAGCCCAGGCCCCTCTTTAGTGAGAGCACTCACAGAGCAAGTATACTCTGTGTTCTCCTTCAGACTCTCTATGGTCACAAACTTCACGTGGGGCTCTGCCACTGAGACATTGGACCCATCTAGATGTACACAGGATGATACACAGATTAAATAATTGTGCTGGGCACCATCCTGACTAAGTTTAACTCAAATCAGGTTTATCTGACACTGCCCAGAAATACAAAATAAATTCAGTCATGTAAATAATTAGAACACGTCCACAGACTGAGATTAAGATGAAGAAGATCAACATTGCTGGTTTATTCCTCCACACTCTCTCGCAACCTGACCTGGCAGCAAAACAGATCCTATTTCCTGCACTGTAACCAGGTACCCCATGATGAATGCTGGCTGAGCTGGATCATCTTCATTGTAATGCCACTCCAGTGTCACAGAAGAGGAAGTACTCTGAACAGGTTCAACCAGACTTGGGCGCTGAACAGAATCTGAGAAACAGGAGATAGTAATGAGGAAGGAAGGCCGAACTAATTAAAACATTTGCAGCTTAGCTGGTGTCAAAGCAACAATGCAGTTTCTCAAAACAAAGTTTCCCCGGAGTTCAAAACCTCAACTTCTATAAAATACCTATACTAATATGGTATTTTGTTATTTAAACATGTAGCTCTTCAGATGATTGCATCACAGTAATTACTCCACTCTGCATATCAGAACTGCAAAACAGGAAAGACTATCTTGTTTACAGGGTGCCCCTATTAGTCAAAGATAGGATATCCTGTGTCAAAATTTTAACTACTACTCTGTAAAAATGGTAAACGTACAGTACAATGTACCATTTTAAAATAAAGGACTACTCTGTATTAATTTTTTAAGGATTATTGCTTTTTTCTGTGTTTTGTAAACACATTGAATTTTACCATTAAAAGCAACCTCTGTTAAAAAAAAGTTTCATGTTTTGTTTTTTTACAGTTTAAAAAAAAAGATTTTTTTTTACAGTGTATAAAAACGTTTACTTTCAACTGCACATTCCAGATCCAAACTATGATAGAAGTTTTCTCACCATCCTATTCTGTGCTAGAGACCAGAGACTTAAAAGAAGAACAAGGTAAAAAGCTAAAGATGACATGATGCTTACAGAGTCCCAGTCTCAATATCATGGTATCATTCTTGGATCACAATAAGCAATTGAAGCAGCCGAGATTGTCAGAAAACCTACAAGTCAAGAAAAACTGGTTCTGTTTAAACTCCACATCTTTTATCTACTTAATTTGTCGTGGAATAATGAGGAAACAGGCCTCATGGCCCTGGAACTGTTTGTTTTTCAGTTTCAGAAAACAGGGAACATTGTATAATTCAGGTTGAATACTTGAGGTATATACTAAATACTTTTGTTAAACCCCTTTAATTAAAGCTGAAGGTCTGCACTTCAATCATATATTTAATTTTAAAATCTACTTTGGTGCTATGCAGAGTCAAAAATTAATTTTAAAAAAATTATGGTATTTCTGACAAACTTGGGAACCTACCAGAACAGACAAAGAGTATAATCACATGAGAGTCAATCTTAACTGCACTTTGTAAGAAGAATTATGACATTAGAATACTTCTAATTTTCAGTGGCTAAAACACAGCGCTCAGCCTCAAATGTCTCTTCTATACATAATAAATGAATACAACACACACACACACACAAACACACGCAATAACAAAACTCACTGAATTCCTGTGAGTAACCAGTCTGTATCTCCAGTAGTCCATATCCATTGTCTGTGCATCCATAAATATAAAATGTATACCTGTAACCTGCTTGGAATTCACCTAAAAATAAAAATATGACAGTGAATGCTAAACAAGAGTAAATGTATTTACATTAATTGCTGAATGAAAACAACAGTAAAACTTACTAGCATGTAATAACAATGCATTATTTCCCTCTGGCACTTTCCACTGCAGAGTGCAAGGCACTGCATTTCCCAGCACACACCACTCCACAACATAGCCACAGGTGGCAGTGCTCTGATCTTCCCATGTCAGATTGAAACCACCCTCGCTGGTGCTGTCTAAACGCTTCTGTACTGGGAGATTTTCTGGGGGGAAAAGTCCAAAACAAAGCAAAATAACTCAGGACTTTAGAACCTGGCTGAGTAGATTTGAAAATGCAAAGTGTTTTTCTGCTTCTAAATTCTAATAAAACTTGAGTTATTGTACTCTGCCATAAAAATCTTAGAAATGCAGTATCTAACCAGATGCTTACTCTTGATGGCAGTAACACTGTGAGGAATTTTGGAGTTGTCTTTGACCAGGATATGTTCTTCAATGTGCACATTAAACAACTGTATGACTGCTTTCTTCCATTTGTGCAATAGCGCTAAAATTAGAGCATCCTGTCTCAGAGTGATGCTGAAAAACTAGTTCATGCACTTCTTATTTCTAGGCTGGACTACAGTAATTCATTATTATCAGGATGTCCTAAAAACTCCCTAAAAAGCCTTAAGTCAATCCAAAATGCTGCAGCAAGAGTACTAACAGGTTACTAGAAAGAGAGAGCAGATTTTTCCTGTATTGGCTTCCATTCGTTGCCAGAATTGAATTCTTCTGCTCCTCACATACAAGATCTTAAATAATCTGGCCCCATCTTATCTTAATGACCTTGTAGTACCATATCACCCTATAAGAGCACTTCGCTCTCGCTCTGCAGGCCTACTTGTTGTTCCTAGAGTATTTAAAAGTAGAATGGGAGGCAGAGCCTTCAGTTTTCAGGCCCCTCTTCTGTGGAACCAGCTTCCAGTTTGGATTCAGGAGACAGACACTATTTCTATTTTTAAGATTAGGCTTAAAACTTTCCTTTTTTGCTAAAGCATATAGTTAGGGCTGGACCAGATGACCCTGAATCCTCCCTTAGTTATGCTGCAATAGGCGTACACTGCGGGGGATTCCCATGATGCACTGGGTGTTTCTTCCTCACTCACTATGTGTTAATAGACCTCTCTGCATTGAATCATACTTGTTATTAATCTCTAGTGACACTCGTTGTTTCACTTTTTTAGTTTTTTAATTCAAGGAAACAAACAACAGAGATATTTGTTGTTAATACATTTACATTTCTAGGCTGGACTACTTGAAATTGTTATAATCAGTCTTAAACGTTTTTTAAAAAGTCCCTTTTAACCCTTTTGTAACTCTTTGTTTTATCAAAGGAAAAAAAACAGTTAAATGTTTAAGTAAGCATTTAAATTTAAGAGACTCTGGGTGTAGAGAAGCTGTTCACCTTTGTGCTCTGCTGGTGGGATGGTGATATTGGCGGGGATGGAGGTGCCAGAGGGGAGGACAGCCTGGACAGTGAAGTCACACTTTCCTGGGCCAATGGACACCACTGCCTGGCCCACGCTGCTGTTCTTCGACTCTGTTTGGCCTTCCTGTGACCACTGAACCGTGTACTCTTGTATGTTTATTGTGGCTGCTGTGCCAGCAATATGCTGAGAATAAATTAGTAATTAAGGGTGAAGGATGTTCAAGGTAACGGTGACATACTGTATATTCTCTAAAACCAGAGTACTATTCCACCAAGTATTTGTGCTTAAAGGGCACAGAAAAATGACTTACTGGCTTCCACATCAGAGTAACTTGACGAGTGCGCGAGTTAGACAGCGGCTGTATTCTTCTCCATAAATCCAAGGACACCAGTGGATCTGAGGAAAATGACTTGTTTAAAGCATAACAGGCAGCAGATCATTGAACCAGAGCACTTTGTTTGTTTGTTGTATGTACCAAAGCAAGCCGAGACCAAGACTTGTTAGGTTAGTTGGTGATTCTAAATTGGCCACAGTAGATAAAGTACTTACAGCATGTAGATTAAAATATATGGTGAAATGTGGCTTTGAGTGGTCAGTAAGAAAAGAAAAGTGTTGTATCAAAGTCTGATAGTACATGGGGAATGAAAGAAAATGAAAGAATGAAAGTTCTTTGGGAGTTTGTTGCTAAGCTCTTGCTTTTTACTTTACTGATATTTTCAAGTATTTGTAATTTTAACAAACAAGAGAATTGGAAGAGACCTCAAACACATCCAGCAAAGTGTCAGCTTGCTCTTTTGTGAAGTAATACTTGTAGTTTGATTACTCTATAACGGGCTTAATAAATCGTTGTGCACTGATGACTTTTCATGTGAAGATCATGTTAAGAAAAACAACTGCAAACACAAATGTTGCATTTAAGTCTCTTTTCAAATGAACAAACCCATCACAAGGATAAGGAACACAAGAGAAAAGAAAAATATGTTTGTATGCAATAATTGCTCCTTCATGCAGCATCATTTTGCAGATAAAAGCTAAACACTGAAAATTAATTTTTGCCCTTCAATAATTTTAGTCTTTCTCACACTTTATTAAATCTGGACTTAAACACGATATGATATTTGTAAAACAACATTTTTTCTAATTATATTTATATTTACCTGTAATGAAGGTTTCTTCTGCCCCTTCTCCCCACAGTCGTCCATTGACAGTGCAGCGTACTCTGACATTGTACTTCGTGTTGGGAACCAGGTGCTCCAGTTTTGTGTCGCAGAAACTGCTCATAATGTTGTTGCACCTCAGCTGTTACAGAAGTAAATGGGGAAAAAAACATGCACTAAAATGTCAAATCTACACTCAACAGTTTGATGATTATTATTGTCAACTTAAATGAATTCACCTCCATGGTGCCGAGTGGGACTGTAGCAACCTGACAGATAAGGTTCATACGAGTCAAGCTTTCCTGCATGCTCCAGGACACTGTGGCGTCTGTCACCCCGCGGTTCACTCTCAGCGACTTCACAACAGGAAACACTAATGGCAACACACACACGAACCATGTATCTTATATCAGTGTATTTTCTGGTTGTGCAGTGAACATTCAAACAGTACAAAAACAACACTGACGCTGATTTCACTACACAGTGTAGGTAAATTGTGAAAGAATCAACCACAGAGCAGTTTAAATTGACATGTACGTGTCTTTATGCCTTCAAAAACATAACTGAGAATATGTTGTAATACACAAAGATGACCCCTGACCTCTGTCAGAGATGTTGAAGCTATAACGTTCCATCTCCTCTCCTAGCTTGTCCTTCACCCACACACTGATGTTATAATTTTGCAGGTGTGGCACAGCTGGAAAAGTACATGATGACTGCTCACAGGTGAAGGGAGCCTTGTCTGAGTTTCTGTATTTTTAATAAACAATAGAATTGGAAAAGACGTCAAACACATCCAGCACATCAGCTTACACTTTTGTGAAATAATATTTATGGTTTGATTACTTTATATTAGGGTTAATAAATCTTTCGTGTCCTATGAAATTTGTACTGATGACCTTTCAGGGAGACGTGACTTTGAGCTATCTGCTGTAGATACTTTGGTTTGGGGGGGTGGGGGTGGGGGGGGCTGCTGTTTCTTTTTTTGTACTCCAGTTTTCCAGTTTCCTCAAATTTGTTGGGAACACACTGCACAACATGCTCATATATGCCAGAAAAACCTTATATGACATTCAGAAAACCTCAAAATTTCTCAATAAGTGTCGCTCCTTTGAAACAAAATATAAAAATATGGCTGGTGGCTCAAAACTTTTCCACAGCACTGAATCAGTCCAATATTATGAAAATCACTGCCATCTATGCCTTACATTGTGTTACAATATAAGGTGTGTACTTCATGTGCTTACTCTATGTGGAGAGTGTAAATTTGCACGTTGCGATCATGCAGGAGTCGCTTTCTGGGTGAATCCCAGGTGCAGCTGACAGATACCATGTCAAAGGTTACACAGCTGAGGTTTCTGGGTTTCTCGGGTGGAACTACAATATACACACATATACATATACAGTTATACATGTACAAGTTCTGCATTAAATTAATAAAGAATACAAAAAAAGAAAGATTCAAACTTACAACTGATATAGTTCAAGACAGGAAAACTTTTGCCTGTTGCATCATCGCAGGTCAGTAACAAATGCTTAATTATTGCTTTTGGGATAGTGAGGTTGTTTACAGTAATAGCTTTTACTCCGCCTCCAATGCTCAAAAGACGGTATTCCTCATTCCTGAAGGTCATTCTTTTAACGTTCACCCCTGTTGGGGGAATACAGCAGAACATGGCACTGCTGCCCTGCCTCAGCACACGGCTGGAGGGGAAAATGTGGATCTTATCGTTTGGTTTGAATCCTGCAAGACAAAGTAAAGTTACAGTGCAGTCTGATGAAGAGCTGTTCAGAATTTCATGCATAATCCCTTGGTATGTTCTAGGGTTCTTAAAAGGGGAACAAAAATTGTATTGTTGCACTGACAAAGACACAAAAAACAAAGGGGATTCAGAAATGCCTCTGCTTTCTTTGCACCCAAGGTCATTAAGGTGGATTAAGGCTGCGTGGCAAACTGTTCTGTAGTCTGACCAATCAAAGCTTTCAGACTTTTGTTTTCTTTTTTGGAAATGATGAACATTGCATCCTCCAGCTTATTGAGGAGAGAGGCCATCTGATTTGTCATTAGTGTGTCGTTCATTCACCATCCTTAATGATATCAGGTTGGATTAGTGCAATACGGCATGGGCAATTTCTTTTAACTTCATGAGGGACGTCGTACCTGAGGACTATACAGATTCCAAGAAACGGAAGAATGGTTGTTTAGACGAAAGATGAAATCGATTAGAATTTACATAACTTAACAACCCCTCCCTCCAAGAAAAGAGTCCAAGAAGAAGAAATAAACACCTTTTGACTCAAAGTATTCTGTCAAACATTATGTCTGACCACAAGGATAAGCAACACAAAAGAGAAAAAATATGTTTTTACGCAGTAAAGTATTCTGTCACACCTGGTAAAGGCAATGTTATGACATGGACACGACTGTAAGTGTTACATGATATGATTGCTGGAAGAAGCAGTTTTATGACACAGGATGTCACAGAGACAGAAAAACAAGCAACAAACTGCAGTAAACAGTGGGAGGGAGAACATACAGCACTTGGTGATGTGATGGTTTCTAAACTTCAGGCTGTCATTGACTCCAAATAATTTGCATCCAAGAATTAACAAAAATCTATATATTTAAAATTGTGTCCAGTAGTAAATGTGCCCGATTCCTTTTGAGTCATTGAAAACGGGAAATTATATTTAAAAATTGCTGTATAATATAGTAGAATAGAATAGAATTCAACTTTATTGTCATTGCACATGTCACAAGTACAAGGCAACAAAATGCAGTTTAAATAATATATATAATAGCTCATGTAAACCCTGAAGTTGAGAGTCGACATTTCAGTCACATTTTGCCTGATTAATTGTAGATAACCAACATTCTAAAAGATAAATACGTAATAAATGCATCTATGAAATGTCTTTTTCAGTGAAAGCCTCACTTATTTCAACAAGACAATGCCAAACAGACTCGCTGTTGGACTCGCTTGGCTATTACAAAAAAACAACAACCCTGCCTTGAGTCCAGACTGATGACCCACAGAAACTATAACATTTTTAAAAAGTTTAATTTTTATTACATTTTTTTTTTACTTTACTTCCCTTATAGGTAGTAAACTAAAAAAAAAAAAAAGAGTGTTGCAGACAACACCTTATTTCCCAACCATGTACATATTTGCATTGTATGCGTAAGATATATGTTGAAAGAGACGTTTGCAATTACTGCAGATGTTGAGAAACGTTTCATTCCTAAGAAAACGACAACTGCTGCTTTTTAACCTCATCAGTAAAACACGTAGGCTGACATAACATCTCACCAGAGTTGGTTATCCAGTTGCTCCAAGGACTCTGGTCAGACTGATTATAGTATCGCATTCTGACAGAGTGATCAACACACTCCAGAGGCAGATCAGAGATCCATGTCCATGTGTATTCGGCCGAAACTCCAGGTGATACGCTCACATTTTTCTAGGTTAAAAAACAGGAAATAATTGTTCATAATAACACTGGTAGGTCTTAAAAGCAGGATTACAGAATCAATTAAATGTGGTGGTAATGGAAAAAAAAAAGATTCTGTCTTTCTCTGTGATGACCTGGCAGAAAAAATACAAATTATCTTTTATATGTAACATTCTGACTGTATTCTATGACTTTTAAACAGCATTAAAAACAGAAAACACACCTCTCAATACTCACAGTGTAAATAACGGTGTGCTGTTCAGTGCGGCTGAGCTCGATCTCATAAATGTCACCCACAAAACTGCTGTGTTTTACCAACCAGCTCACCACAAGGGTCTGCTTGTCATTAATAGCTTTCAGAGTGATGTTTGGTTTTGGCAGATAACAGCCTGGCGTATGACAGAACAGAAGGATGTAAAGTTACACATTCAGGGTCCCAGAATGTTGGTCCTGTTTAGACAATGAACAGAACCAACTTTCCAGAATTTCTTCACCTGTGACTGAGCACACATCAAGACGACATATTGAGAGAACTTTAAAATGATCAGAAAGAACGTAAACGAACCCAACTTACCATCGTCAAAGCAACATTCAGTGTTCGAAAATATCAGATACAACCCGAAAAGGCTGAAAAAGGATTTCCTGACATTTATCATCCTCTCATGTGAACCGTTTTTCACTGAGCACGCCAACTGAAACCCTAATAAGTCAGCAGCAAGTGTTAGTATGAGTAGAAGTGCGAGTGTTGCGTAATGTATAATCGGAAGTCAAGAGAGGAGTGTTTAAATGTTAAACCAATGGTGCTGTGCCGTTTTTCACATAAGTAAGAATGCACCAAAAACAGATGTTTGCCACAACAGTTTTATATATATATATATATATATATACACATATATATATTACATATATATACACACACACACAATATGATAACACAGTTCTGATTATGAAGATTACAAGTCAAATTTTCAAACAAAATCTTATAAACGTTGACAGTGCATGAAGCTATTTTTAAGCAATAAATTATCTGAAATTTCAAGGAACAGGGGAAAAAAATACACCCTCTCTTCACAGACATTACAGCATCAGACAGCAATATATTTTTGGCACTTAAGTGAGAAAACAATTCAACATATTGTGCATAGGTAGCCGCTCCGAAAAACTATACACGTATTTCATATTTATACACAATATAGGTCTATTTTTATTTCTCGTAGAGGCCCACAATCCCTTATAAATATCATTAAAGATCACTTGGAGAAATAATCTATATATAGTTTAAAAAAGGGGTTGATTGGCTTCTCATATATTCTTATTTCATTTTAAGTGCTCAAGACGTAAATTACATCAATTTTAATCTGTCCTGACTTTCTTGTATTTGAAGTCAAAAGGTTTGTAGCACAAAGGTACCTTTGTCATCAAACCAAGTGCACAGATACTTAAAAGATTTGTGGTAGAAGTGAAAACACGAGAAGTACAAATATAAAAGCTGATTTACAAAGAGCTTGTTTGTGAAAAGGCACAATGGTTTGATCACACAGGAGGAGAATGGTTAAAGTTCACAACATACAATGATAAAGGCACATACTGTACAGTCGGTTTATACTTTCTCCCTGTGATTACCTCTATATTTGATCTCTCCGATTTTAAAAGATGAACATAAATCCATCATATTTACATGGACATATATGCACACACACACACATTTAAGCAACAGACATATTATTGTTTGTTCAGTATACAACTGGTGGCCTATATTGTTTATTTTTCTCTCATGGACCTTTAGAGGTAAACAATGTTCTCCTCAACTCCCTCATCCCTATTCTGCCCCTCGAGAGAGAGGTACGCCTGAGGGGGGAGGAGAGGGTTAAGAGAGTGAGAGGAAGAGAAGCCGTCCTCATAAAGTCTATGCCCTGTGACCTCTGACCTCCACAGATCCGGGGATTGTTTGTCCACCACTGGTCTGAAGTTTGCTGAAAGAAGAACAACACAAAGTGTCAAGTCAAGCCAACTTTATTTATAAAGCCCTTTAGAAACACCAAAGTTTTGGTCAGTGGTTTTGTATTATTTATACAATTTAAAGAATACAAAAAAAAGGAAAAATATATATGTATATAAAAATTACTAAACAAAATAAGGACATCAACATGACACATCAGTAAAAACAGTAGAAATAAAATAAAATAAAAATTTAAACAAAATTAAATCAAATAAAAATTTCAAACTGGGTCAAATGCCCAACAAAAGAGGTGCTTTGTTTGGCAAAACAAGTTAGTCAGGGAACCTAAGAGCAGATTTAAATATTGAGATTGAGGAGGCCCATCCAGCTCCCAACTCTACAAGTTGGGATCTGCTACAACAAAAGCCTTGTCCCCATGAGCAGCTGCCGTGTCCTCGGACATCCAAGAGCAGTTGGTGAGCTGATCTGAGTGACCGGGAAGGGGAGTGCAAGTGCAGCAGCTCAGAGAGGTCAGCTGGGGCAAGGCCATTTAAGCACTTAAAAACAACAACAATATATATATATATATATATATATTAAAATGTACTCTAAAATGGGTCTGCAGCCAGTGCAGTGAGGATAAAGCAGGAGTAATATGCTCTCTCTTCGTGTTTCAGTTAAAAGTCGTGCTGGGGCATTTTGCACCAGCTTAAGAGGGGACAGAGAGGACACAAACATAATGAAGCCATGAATTACTGTTTCAAAGTGATCTTTTGACAGAATGTTTTTCATTTTAACCAGCTGTTTCAGCTAAAAGAAGCTGGATTATCCCAGTGCACCGATCTGATTGTCCATCCTAAAACCCCAGGCTGTGCCAGCGGGCTTTATGTACTGTGCCAGCGGGCTTATGTCGATAGGAAAAGGCCCACCAGTGATACAAGGCCCAAACACAACTTCTGTCTTATTTTCGTTAAAATTTAGGAAGTTTAGCGCCATCTACTCATTTGATTCCTCAAAGCACTTAGCTGTTTGTATGACAATAATGGATTGCATTTATATAGCGCTTTTCTAGGCACCCAAAGCGCCATACAATTCCACTATTCATTCACTCCAGACTGGTGGAGGCAGCTACAGTTGTAGCCACAGCTGCCCTGGGGCAGAATGGCAGAAGCGAGGCTGCCATATCGCGCCATCTGCCCTTCTGGCCAACACCAGTAGGCGGTAGGGTAAAGTGTCTTGCCCGAGGACACAATGACCAGGACAGAGAGAGCAGAGGGATCGAACCAGCAACCTTCGGGTTACAGATGAGCTTCCTAATCCCCTGAGCCACGGTCGCATGTTGTATGGAGTAGACATCCTTTTGTTTTAGGGGCATATAAATCTGAGTATCATCTGCATAACAATTGAAAGCAATTTTCTGCTTTCTAAAGTATCGAGCCCTGCGGAACCCCACAAGACAAAGGAGCAGAGGAAGATCTGAAATCAAGTTCTAACACAAAACGTTCTTTGAGAAATGTGAGAATCAATATTTAAAATCCTATAATTCACTGTGTCAAAAGCAGCTTTTAGGCATGTCCTTTTTCCCCCACTTTCCTTCAGCTTTTTGGCATTCACATCTGACAGGCATGAGTTGTTTCATTTAGCCAGGGCTCAGATTTAGTTTTGGGGTCTCTGCTTTTTAATAAGGCCACAGCATCATCCAGCAGCGGAGCTTCTCTGTATCTAAAGACACAGACTTAGGAATTCAAGAGTTCTGATTGAAATAAGCAGAGAAATGCACAGCAGTGGATGGGTTAATAATATCACAGCACCTCGCAGGAACATGAGGTTTAGCAAGGCAATGTCAAATGAGACACATACAGTGCCACAGATCAGGGTCCAGTGTGTGTCCACGTTCCTGTGTGGGTCCAGACACCCACTGCAGGAAGTCAAAAGAATCACTTTCAACTGTCAAGACAAAGATGTTGTTTATGAGGGCTGGAAAAAGCATAATATGTACAATACTCATTTAAAAAGGCATGCACTTTCTACCATGCTTTATATATAGTAAGTAGTCTTACAAGTGTTGGTCTCCTGTGAGTGTGTAGTGATCCTGCTGCCAAAGGGGTGGATGGAGTCATTCAGGGCCTGAGGACAGTCATGACTGTTACTGTAGCTCGGGTATGTCATGCCATCCAGCGGCTGTTTGCTGTGTGTCTGGCTCAGCAGGGTGTTGAGGCTGTTGTAGAGGCTGGCACTGAGGCCGAGGTTGGTCGAATAGGTGGAACTGTGCAGGGGGTCTTCGTGGTTTTTTCTTGGCATGGAGAGAGGATGCTGGTGCTGGTTGTTGTTGGTGGGCTGGTGGAGGTGGTTCTGTTGGAGTGAGGTGAGCAAAGCTGCCTCATTCTTGTACACTGAACAGTTGCCATCCAGGCTCCCTGAGCGGCTGTGGGTAGACCCCTAGGACATCAAAATGACATGAAATAGAAGGAGAGGTGACAAATTCTTTTGGCTTTATTTTTTCTATCGTTCCTAGTTTTGTTTTCATTTATTTATGTATTTATCTATTTTGTTACTTGAATCTTTCTGTACTTTTATCCCCTGCATTAATGCACTTTCTTGTATCATCTCCCGCTTTCTGAATTACCTTGTATTCACCCAGTGGAATCATAACAGGCAGGCTGCTCTGGCGGCTATGTCTCCAGCTCTGGAGCAGTCTCTGTTGCGCTTCGATCTTCTCCTTCTCCCTCTCTACACTCCTCTGACCCTCCCTCAGTCTGTCCAGATTTTGCTGGTACTCCAGCAGCTGGGCCTCCAGCTCCTCACGCTCACAGCGCAGCCGCTCAGCTTCCAGAAGACACTGCTGCTCCCGCTGCTCCAGCAAAGTCTCCTGTTCACTCTGTAAGCATGCAAGGCTTATTATTCTACTGTTGTAACAGACTTCATACATTGCTTAGGTCTAAAGATTAATACTATATTTGAAACTTAAGCACTTTAACCACAACTTGGGTTTTAAGTTGAGGTTTTGAAAGCAGGTAACAGCCTTTTTGACCTGTTCCATATTAGCACTTAGTAAAATATAACCATGGCAACAGCAGCACAGGAAATTGAATAAGATAACAGAAAATGGCAGATGCACATGCAGCTATGAAAATGAGGTTACAACACATGTTTAAAAATATCTTATCTTGAAAAAGAAATTCACAGGTCACACATTTTGCTCGTATATGACATGTTTCCGGTTTTTGTTACTGAAATTTGAAGTAATTATAGAAAATGTAAAATGTATTTTATTTATCAAGAGTCTAGTGTCTCATCTAGCACTGCAGTTTGCTTTTGTTTGCTTTAATTAAATGTGATCTATTTATAACCTGGTAAAGATCAAAGAAATGGGTGTAGACCAATGACTGTTTTCTGCAGTCATTGGCGTAGACTCATAACTAAACCGAGCTTTTTTGTGCCCCACCAAACTATTATGAAACAAAGACAGAGAGACCAGAAAGACAAGTGACTGAGAAACATAAAATCACTTTTAAAGAACACGAGCATGAAGCTAACCTGTTGTTTCTCTCTGGCCAGACATTCTTTGTCCCAACGTTGTTGCTCTTGTTTCAGCTTCACCTGGAGTTTCTGCACCTCATCCACCTCTTCTTTCTTCCTCTCTAAACCCTTCTTTTCCACTTCCTCTTTTTTCTTCTCAATACTCCTCTGCTTCTCCTGCTCCTGGACAACAATATATGTGTTGACATACAGTGGGGCAAAAAAGTATTTAGTCAGCCACCGATTGTGCAAGTTCCCCCACCTAAAATGATGACAGAGGTCAGTAATTTGCACCAGAGGTACACTTCAACTGTGAGAGACAGAATGTGGAAAAAAATCCATGAATCCACATGGTAGGATTTGTAAAGAATTTATTCGTAAATTAGGGTGGAAAATAAGTATTTGGTCACCTCAAACAAGGAAAATCTCTGGCTCTCACAGACCTGTAACGTCTTCTGTAAGAAGCTTTTCTGTCCCCCACTCGTTACCTGTATGAATGGCACCTGTTTGAACTCATCATCTGTATAAAAGACACCTGTCCACAGCCTCAAACAGTCAGACTCCAAACTCCGCCATGGCCAAGACCAAAGAGCTTTCGAAGGACACCAGGAAAAGTATTGTAGACCTGCACCAGACTGGGAAGAGTGAATCTACAATAGGCAAGCAGCTTGGTGTGAAAAAATCAACTGTGGGAGCAATCATCAGAAAATGGAAGACATACAAGACCACTGATAATCTCCCTCGATCTGGGGCTCCACGCAAGATCTCATCCCGTGGGGTCAAAATGATCATGAGAACGGTGAGCAAAGATCCCAGAACCACACGGGGGGACCTGGTGAATGACCTGCAGAGAGCTGGGACCAAAGTAACAAAGGTCACCATCAGTAACACACTACAACGGCAGGGAATCAAATCCCGCAGTGCCAGACGTGTTCCGCTGCTGAAGCCAGTGCATGTCCAGGCCCGTCTGAAGTTTGCCAGAGAGCACATGGATGATACAGCAGAGGATTGGGAGAATGTCATGTGGTCAGATGAAACCAAAGTAGAACTTTTTGGTATAAACTCAACTCGTCGTGTTTGGAGGAAGAAGAATACTGAGTTGCATCCCAAGAACACCATACCTACTGTGAAGCATGGGGGTGGAAACATCATGCTATGGGGCTGTTTTTCTGCCAAGGGGACAGGACGACTGATCCGTGTTAAGGACAGGGCCAAAATACCAGCTACTGTGTGTGCAAACCTGGTAAAGACCTATAGTAAACGTTTGACCTCTGTTATTGCCAACAAAGGTTATGTTACAAAGTATTGAGTTGTATTTTTGTTATTGACCAAATACTTATTTTCCACCCTGATTTACGAATAAATTCTTTACAAATCCTACCATGTGGATTCATGTATTTTTTTTTCACATTCTGTCTCTCACAGTTGAAGTGTACCTCTGGTGCAAATTACTGACCTCTGTCATCATTTTAGGTGGGGGAACTTGCACAATCGGTGGCTGACTAAATACTTTTTTGCCCCACTGTAACTCAGCTTCCTCAAAACGTGTAAGGTTTTACATTGAGAAAATGCTTTCAGTGGGTATGATGTGACTGATACCAGGCTGCTTTGAAGGGAGGCGAGGGTTCGGAGCTGAGGTCCTTCTCCCTCCTGAAGAAGGAGCTGGTGGACTTCATAGCAGCTGTCCTGGAGGGTCACAGCTGCCTGCAAACATAAGGAGACAACTAATCACACTCCAGTTACTAAATGTAACATAAGCATCATCATACAGTCCTGATGAAAAGTTTAAGACCACTTAAAAAATGGCAAAAAAAATCATATTTGCATGGTTGGATCTTAACAAGGTTCCAAGTAGCGCTTAAACATGCAAAAACAAGAGATGGGTGTGAGACAAAGCATTTTTATGAGCATGCGATTTATTAAAAAGAACGCTTAAACTCAAACAGGCTTTACAGCTTTTCAGAGGTAGGACCACGCCTCTACCTCAGATGCCATCTCACGGTTATGGGGCTGGAGTCGGCACCAGGAATGGGCTTAATTTCAAGGATTGTCCAGTGTCTTGACGGACAGCCAATTGGATCCTCCAGCTCAGTGCTGGTGAAATTTTTGGGGGGTCTTCCACTTGACTTTTTTGTTCCATAACCCTCATTTAAAAAATTCCACATGACTGTCTTACTCCGTCCCACCTCAGTAGCAATGGACCCCGCTTTTGCAGTTCAACAACCCAACCACATTCAAAAAGGGAATCTTTTTTGCCTTTGCAAACAAACGTCACGACAGTGTGACTACCTGGCAGAATTTGGCCTTTAAAAGTCATGTGGTCCTAAAACTTTGATCAGCTGTAAAACAGCCTGCTTCAGTTTAAGCATCGTTTTCAATAAATTGCATGCTCGAAAAAGTGTTTTGTCTCACTCTCATTTCTTCTTGTTGCACGTTCAAGCTCAACTTGGAACCTTGTTAAGATTCAACCATGCAAAATATGAATTTCTGCAATTTTTCAAGTGGTGTTAAACTTTTGATCGGGACTATATTAAGGCTATTAAGGCTTTATTAGATGCACAGTCTTTGAAATCCCTTATCTATATCTATCTACAACCTTTTAAATACCTCTTTATTTTAGAGTCTGAAAATGTAAGTTATGGCAGATTACAAATTCACTATTTAGCAAAAGAAACCAGTAAAAGTTCCTAAGAGATTTATTTCTCACTGAGTTAACATGTAACAAGTATTTTAGCTGAACTGTTTTATTCTTATATCACATAAAACATATAGTCTTTCAATCAGTTAGGTAAAATATTTGTTCTTCTCTTTGTCTTTTGCCCTTCTCCCCCGTCCCTCTTCTCAGCTGTTTCTCTTTCCCTCTTCCTTTCTCCCCTTCTTTCCCCCAGTCAAGTCTGTCCCGTATTCAGTAAGTGAAAATAAAATAAACAATAAAAGGTGAATCAAATGGACCATTACGGCAAGGCTGGGATGGTCAATTTGGTCAAGTAAATCCGTTGGGCATCTTTCTTTGCCTTTAGACCACAATTTTGATGGCAAAAGAGCCAAACGGGACAGGCAAAAAAAAAAAAAAAAAAAAAAATTTGTTCTTTTCACCTGTAGACTGTATAGAAGTTGGGTCAGGCTCTGGACACTCTCTGCCACCTACAGAAAACAATGGGTCAGTACAGTGAAACAGTAATGTATATTAATCCATCAACAAACACTGTTCATGGGGGGACTAAAGAGGTTGAACCTTCACCAGTGTCCCTTTGTTCTCTCCTTTTCTCAGCTCAACAGCGGAGCTCCACAACGAATTGTCCATCCCGGCTAATTCACTGTCAGATCCAAGAGAGGTGGAGCTCATGCTTAGCGTGCTCAGATAATCCGCTGTAGGGACAAGGGAAGGAGATGTGACAGCTTGCATATATGCAATGTGGTCAAGAAATTACAGTAGACATTACAGTAGACACTGACACATCAGCTGCAGTGTGACACATATCCCAGAAAATGTAATGCTGCAGTGTCTGCCAGTGACTCACGCTCAGACGGAGACTCCTGAATGCTGCTGCCGTGGCTGTTATAACTGCAGCACTCAGGGCCTCGGACAGGAGAGCTCTGACTCTGCACAGCGATACCTTCACGAGCCTGGAGAATGGTGATCAGGTTTTCAGCTGGAGGAAAGGCCAATTTTGATCAAAACTTAATGTTTTGCAACACTTTTATTTCAATTTATTTGTTGTTTCCTACATTAGCGTGCGATATATAGACTTTTTTATAATTTGCTAATTTATTCAAGTTTGTAATACTAATTAATATACTTGTTAAAACGAATATTTTCGTTATAAGAAATCAACTAAACTTATATTGCTACATTAAAATATTATTTCCCAAGAACATTTCTTTATTTAGAATCCCCTCCAAAATCAAAAATTGCTGCCACACTCGACCTTTTATACCTTCTCTGAGTGCAGCTGTGAGCAGTGAAGAGGCCTGTCTTGGTGTCTCACTGTCGGTGTATGGTACCGATTCTACCAGCAGGTGGCGATGTGGTACAGGTTCTGGTGACTGGAGGGTTAATTCTGTAAGCTCAGCATAAAGCTGTAACTTCTCCTCCAGGCTGTTGCAGATTCGTTGGTCTTGACCCAACAGCGTTTCTACACAAAATGAACGAAAAGATTACGAGGAATGGGTCTTGTTATGCTTCATAACTGCACAAACTCTCTGTGATATGAACAAATAAACTCTAAAGTAATCTTCTGGTCTCAAACACACTTTCCTTTTTTACCTTGGAACTTGGTGATCTTCTGAATTCTCATTTCTGCAGCTTGCCTGGCTTCCTCGGTCTCAGCACTTCGCTCATCTTCCTCCTCTTCCTCAGGGCAGCTAGTAATTTGTGACAATCGTTAACACACATTAACCGGACCTACACATGGCGTCTAAGCTGCACAAACACCCTAGGTTTGACTTGTGCTTACATGTACCTCTCTACAGCTTGTCGAATGTGTCTCATCCATGCATTCCTCTCCTCTCTGCTGGTGGTATGAACTTCATACATCTCTGGCCCCGCTGAGGATGCAGAGATGAGAAACATCCCTCTCTCTTCATTGGCAACTTCTCTGACGATGAGCTTTTGTAGAGGGATTACTGGAGGCTTCTGGTCCTGTAGGTTGAACCAGATTGGTTAATAGACAGAGACACATGGACAGACAGTTGAATCTAGTTTCTTTGATTTAAAAGATTTCTTTTTTTTTCAGGGGGAGGGGTTGATATTTACCACAGCAGCAAATATGAAGCGCTGATCTTTCTCTTGCAGGAAAACTAGAATGTCAGTGAGCAAAAGAGCCAACGTATCTGAAAAGAGAAGTGTGGACACAAATAGTTTGATTGTCTAAAACCTAAATAAACAACACATCATAGATCCCGATATGATTTCATATCCACCTTTCAGACGTCCTGTGGCTGTTTTCCAGTAGACCAGCCCTTTGTGCTGCAGATCCCTATGTTTGCTGTGCAGGTCCTGTTTGCGAAACACCTTGCCATTCTTAAGCTTGGCAAAGCTTTTGTTCTCCAGCCGGGCCAGCACTTCCTGAAGCTCCTGAAACTTCTCATATTTATTTACAGTCAGGTCCACTGCTGCAACAACATTACGGATCTGAGCCAGGGCAGTTGACAGGTCAGAGTGTTCTATACTTCCCTCTACGAACAGAAACAATAGCCAGAGGTCATATGAATAATCCAATTTGGAAAACAGCTTTTCAATAATGCAGCTTTTTGTTACGATCTCTTAACTGATAACAGACAAATAAGCAGCATTAAAATGTATTAAAAAAGATTTCCGTTTTAGGTCTTTAAATCAATAATTTTTTAAGAAGTGGTTTAAAATGCTAAACTTTTAGGCCAACATTTTGTTATGCAATCACTAAAACTTCCTCTTGCTTTTCATTTGTTCTTCTCCTTTCAACAAATATGCAACAGACTTAACATTTGCATATCTGCAGTTTTGCACAAGTCACAGTAGAGTAGACCCACCCTTGGTATAATGTAATATCCTCTCCAGCAGCACTGGGTACTTGGTGATGCGCTGAGTTACAAGCAGGATAAATTCTGGGACCTCTCTTCGTCTGACCAGCGAGTTATTGCTCTGTTGCTGTGAGAGACAAAGAATTTTAGCTTCTCAAAATATTTAACTGTAATATAACTAATTGAAAAAAAAAACAAAAAAACAGTGGATCTGGATTCAGGGGCTTACCCTGACAAAGTTTTGAAGTTTCTTGTTCTGTTGCTGTAGCTCTTTGAAGACGTTGACAGCTTCGATGTGGTGACTGCAGAACTCTCCATACAAGTTTTTCATCTTCTCAGCATTTTCATCTGAGAACTGAGAGAGACTAGATGCTGAGCACATACGTCCATCTGAGTATATTTATTTTACATAACTAAATATCAACTAACCTGCTGAAGCAGTATATCTCCAATCCTGTGGATGATGTAATTTTGGGAGTTCTCTGTTTGGGTTTCAGCCTGTCTGCGTTCCTGCAGAGCTCTGAAGAGGTTCCTGTGGAAGACCAGCAGGGGATCCAAACAGGGGAAAATCCGGGCCACACAGTCCCAATCCAGCTGCAGCTCCTCCAGCATGCCTCTCCTGAACACCTCCGACATGACCGTTAGGGTCTGGATATGGTGCAGCTCGGTCTGCATCAGCTCTGAAAGAGGACAGCCAAACTGGGTAAGGGATACTGAAATATCTGGCAGGGTTTATGTTTCAAACTGTAGATGCAATGTTTAGGTTTGGCAAAGGTTTCTCACAGGCTGAAAATAAACCATCTGCCCTTCACAGGATTTTGATATGTTAACACACAAAGGTTGACAACACTGGTGGTACAAGTAATAATGAAACACATTTCTTTGGAAACTGCAAAAAAGTTAGCTTTTCACTCAGCCCACAGAATCCGACATAATCAGCTATATGATTACAGATGCTGGTTGTACAGTATACAGTGCTTTTATATAAAATATTAAAACAGTATTGTTAATTTATTGTTAATTCCAGGCCGGCTGGATTTTCTCACCATAAATAACATCCTGGCGTTTGATTGTGTGTCTGTCGTGTTGCCTACAAAATTCGGCAGTGACTGCAAGACTCCATGACTCTGCTTCAAGTCCCAGCAGGTCAGCGGACAGGTCGCCCAGTAAAGGAGCATCAACAGTATCTACATGAATGAAAGTGATGAATAGCGTCTTATTTCTGGATCACTATTACAACTGATGCATGTACCAAGCCTCTCTGTTCTTCCTCACCTTGTGTGGTGATTGGCAGGTCTATGGCTGGGGGAGTCGTTGTGACTGGTGTCCCGTCATCAGACAGTGAGCTAATAGTGCAAGTTGGAGCAGCACACTCAGAGTCCGCACCTGCTGAGTCGCTCAGCTGTCTGAGGGAAAGAGAGCCAGGTCAGAAGAGCCTGTGTGAAAATCTAGGTTTCATTTATTTTTAGGCATACTAAAATAGAGTCTGCTTTTTGGAAGTCTCAATTGTGTCCATCTATCCACTTCCGTTTATCCTTTTCAGGGTCGCGGGGGGCACTGGAGCCTATCCCAGCTGTCGTAGGGCACAGAAGAATAATTTTTTTTAAATTTCCAAATGTTTTTTCTACTCCTGGATCTGTGTGACATCAACATGAGGGAGTATCCCCAATGTGGTCATCTCAGATAGACAGCTCTGACTGGGAGTACAGAAACCCCATCAACCTGTTGTTCAGACCTGTTTGTCAGGGCCAGCCAATCAGAAGAAAACTGGCTTAAAGGGAGGGGAAGCTACGATGGCTTGTTTCAGACAGTGGATGAACTATGGACGAACCTATAAATCATGGAAAACATCTCTAAAAGAATATGAGAGTAAAAACATGGAGCTGGAAATAAGCATAATAGGTCACATTTAAAAGTAAACAAATTGAATTAAAAGACAAAATTAATGCAGTTCATTCATTCTTAATGCTTTTTTCATACCGGTGGTAATATTTTTCTTTTCCCAGATCATAACCAGCCTACCTGCTGTCTGCAGAGATAGAGAGGCTTTTAGTAAGCGGTGGGACTGTTTCTCTTTTTTCTCTGTTCATTGTTGGAAGCGAAGAGGACGGGCAGGAAGAAGAAGAGAAAATGGAGGATGGTGGGTTTTCTTTGACAGGGTCTAAAAAGGAAGATCAAAAGGAGGAGAAATACGTCATACACTGGAAGCTTTCCCACTCTACAAATAAATATTGCGTGTTTGTTTAGTATTCAGATGTTTTGTTTATATCTATGTAGTCACTGCTATAAAATTTACAGGATCATTAAACTGTTATAATCTTTCACTGTTTAACTGCAGTTTGATTACAGTTGTGACAATACATTGCAGATGTTGACACCTCTGTCTAATACCAAGCACTCAAAGAAGACAGAAAGCTTAAACTGAAGAAATAAAATGATCATGTTAGTGCAAATAGAGCACTCAACCCGTGTTCTCATGCACACGTAAACACAATCCAGACCAGATCCCCCACTGAGGTAGATTAAAATTTAACTTTTTCTTTTTTTTAAACAGGAAAGAAAAACAACAGAAGAGGAATGACGAGGGGTGAAGAGCAATGGCTTACTTATCTACTACAGGACAAGGGAGGACAGGTGAAAACTAAATGAATCAAAGACAAAGGGAGGAGCAGTGGGGGCACTCACTCTGCGGGAGAGAAAAGGCCTTGTTCTTCATCAGCAATGCATTCCTGTCTTGCAGTTTCTGGAAAGATATAATCATATCGCCACCAAAAGTTGTAAATCTGAGTGTTTTTGCTTTGAATAACAGGAGGATGTGGTTGTAATCACAACAAATTTAGTCAAAACTGGAATCAGTTAAAGAGAAACATGCTGGGAGATATTGTACTTATGCATGACTAATTTGTGATATCAACACATTCCCGGAGTTCCTTTGTCACCATGTCCAGGAATTTACTCTTCCTGTGGAAAAAAGTACCCACTTTCACTCTGCTCGTCTTTACTAAAGTAACTGACTACTTTTTCTTTGTTTTCCTTCTTTTCTTGCATTTTGCCCTCTTTAGACAACAAAAACAGGGGTGATAAGAGACACAGGAAAACACAAAGGGAATGATTCAAACTAGATAACTAGCTACAACACAGTGACAGACTGAGTGACAGATTTCTGGTTTAGCTAGCATGTACTTAAATGCAATCTGTGGATTTTGGGTCCAAATAGTGCTACACAACAATGTTTTTAGGAGTGTTTGTGTGCACATGTGGGCAGTGGTTTGACACCATTCTGCTAGCTGACATTGAAGACAGATGTAAATAATGAACGCAAAACAACCAGTATAAACACGTGTTTTACATACCAAACGTGTATGTAAAACACGTTTTACTAGATGTAAAAGTAAATGAATGTGTTGTTTAATGCATAGGGCATAAAATCTCTTTCTACAGCATTGTGGTCTGTTCAGGTAATAAAGGGTCACTACAGTGATGGATAGTTTACAAGTTAACATCTGGTGCAGCAGAAGCAAAGCTGTACTTACAATCCAGAGTGTAGGTCAAGCTTTAGTAATGTCAGAGCCTACAGTTTCCATAACACCATCTATAACATAACAGACCTTTTCTTTCTCATCTATTTATACAGGCTGACTAGTGCTAACTGAAAGTGCCTGACCTATTTTTGTAAAACTGACCTCATCCCTGGCTGACTGTGTAAGCCATACAGAAACGGACAAAGACTTTGTCCCCAAGAAGTCAGCTGACAAATGAAAACATGCGACATTTTAAAAAAAAAGGAGGTAGGACTTTATATTCTGCCAAATATAAAATAACAACATTGTTAACTATGTTAAAACAGCACATCAAACATGAAGCAGTCTGTCACCAGCAGCTGTTTCTTTTTCTTTTTTTACATTTATGAAGCTCTCTGGCTTGACTTTTTTCTTTTGTAAAACTATTTTTAAATCAATAATCTTGCTTATTTGCTCTGAGCGCAAATGAGGTGCATTGTGTTAATGATTACCTTTGCACAGGCTGCAACAGACTCCCGACAGTTCTTATGAACATTCAGTAAACAGTCTGCAGACAAGCACATATAAAATGTCAGTTAATTCCATGAACTGAGTTATTACAACATATGTGAATCCAGTATCCAGATGGCAGACAAACTGTTGTTTGTCACTAGAAATGTTGACTTTATGAAAGAAAAAAAAAATGACTTCATGTCTTATACTGAACAAAACATCACAGCAGCACGTGCAAAGAGATTTAAACAAATCCAAAACAGTTCAGCCACCACAGGACATAAAACAACATCAGCACTGACAGTGTAATACTTACTGGAGCACTGCAACAGCTCCTTCCCAGAAACAGACTTATCACAGGCCACACAAAGAGCAGGACCAGATGGAGACACAGGAACAAACTGATGACCATTAGGAGTGACTGACTTCTCCTTTCCCTCCTTCACCTCTTTACCCTTCACCTGAGAGGCAAATGATAGATATTTTTTAAATGTGCTCATTCAGCTGACAGTTATTGTAGATAATGCCATAATAACATGCAAAGCAGGAGAGTAGAAATAATATGACTCATTGCAGCAGGCAAAAAAGAGGCTTAAAGCAGCCATCTTCTTGCTGAAAAACACCTGTTAAAGTGAAGTTAGTTGAGATAAAGGGGCCTCTGAGTGAGCCTTTTTGTTTACTTTGTTAAGGTCCATTGGGACTGCTGCTGTTATGGTGCTTTATCATTAGGGGGCACTGGGATGGAGGGGAGGGGGGTGTCCTCAGTGTATGCTGCGATAGAAAAATGTTTATTATCTTTTGAAACTTTGCAAGGAGGTCTAGAAAATGTGTTTGTTTTCTGAGTCTTCATGTGCATTGTGTTTCCGTAAATATAGGGAAACACTGTCGTTAAAGACATGCACATCCTTAAAGACAAGCACATATGTTCACAAGATTAGGAGTGCAGCACAGAATGTGTTTTGGTTCCCCATGCTGTGTGTGTGTGGAGCGGGGGTCTACATGTTATGTAAGAGAATATTTTCACTGTGTCTTGTTGCTAAGACCTGAAGAGAGAGAGAATTTTCTGCTTCACCAAATAAAGGCTTGTGCTCAGACAATGGCCCCCCCAGCACAAGAATTCCGACCTGGCATGTCTGAGATGTGGTAAACTTTTACTGCACTGCTTTTAGAAGCCTTTAAGCCATGTGTGTGTGTGTGTGTTTTTTTTTTAATCGTAACCTTTAACTGTAGGCATTTTTAATGACATTTGAGTAGATCTGAAATCACAGCCAGCATGAATTAGAAAGTCCACTGCACTGTCTCACCTTAGTCTTGCTGCGAGTGCTCGACATCCTGCTCTTGAGGAAGCTGAAGGTCCGGCTGACTTTGTACTTCTCTGACTCGACCTTAGATGGGATTATGTATTTATCCCAGTCCTCATCCTCGATCCTGTTTTAGTGTAAATGCTTTAGTCAGAGGTCATTACAACTCCTCACTGCAGTACTACCATCCAACATGCACACACTAACAAAAAGACATCATAATTTTAGTAGTTTAATAGACTAAAGAGAGCATAATAAGGTACACTGGTATCATGCTGGAATGAAAGAATGTCCAGACAGTCTTCCAGGACCCCTAGTCTACGGATTATTACTCTTCACAACATGCTCGGCATGCTTGGAAGTCACTATGGACTCTAGTGCATGCTATTTATAGTACGACCTTGCCAAAATGCAATTAATACGTGTCATCTATTTTCAGCGAGTTATGCTAGTTACATTGGGCATTCTAGGTGAAAGGCAACAATGACAGAACGTAAAAAAAACAACCATGCATTATCACATCAAACCTACAGCAGCCACCCGTCATAAGAAGTGTTAATATAATCTGCTTCTGCAGATTCCTACATCATCAGATGCAGCTGGGAAAAAACCTACATGGTTAATGGATGAGCTTGGGAACGGTCGCACAGCGGGGTTAAAATGACTTAAGCCACACATGCACATGTGAGGCCATTTAGGTGAATAACATACTCTTTGAGGAACTCTGTGAGGGTGAGGTGTTCGAGTGGTGCGCTGCTCTCCTCCTCTGCTGACTGGGCCCGCTTACGGAAACCCAAAACCCTGCATGGATATAAAGCACCTCAGGCCAAGTTGTTGTGTCTCTTCTCATCAGGTAACTCAAAATGCCAATAATATTCTAAAGTCTACAAGTCATTCCTAGAACAGTGTGGGAATGGAAAATTAAGATAATTACAGGTTTTGCAATGAAGAGTTACACTGGTGTTTGTATTATCTGCTATTTTTAGTTGAACATTTAAATATTAACCAGCGCTTTTTGGGCAGTGGTAGTTAAAGCAGATGGATTCTGATATCGTAAAGGACAAAAACAGTTGGTGAGTCTAATCAGGTTGGTGTGGTTATATAAATGTAATTTATCCTAATACAATAATCTAACGGTGTAATATAATTTGATTGCCTAATATGATCTTCTACAGTGTTTCCTCTGTTAGCAATGGTTGTTAGAAAACAAAATATATTAGCACATGATGAATTTATGAGGCAATGAGATGAAATTGATGATAAAATGGATATGGATAGAAGCATTTCTTAAATGAAATCAAAACAAGCAATGTTACTACAGTGGTCCCCAACCTTTTTTCTGCCCTGTCAGATGGACACAAGAGCCCCTCATCAGCACCACGTATAAATGTGTTCATTTGACCTCAGTTTAACCTGGACCAGGACTACTTTTAGCTTATTAATTACCTTAACCCCATTCAGCTTCCATTCAGGCATACATAAGCCAGGGACATTTTCTATCACATGGGATCACGAGGACTAGTAGGCTAGATTAGCAAACTATCTCAACCATTTTTCCATAACTACCGGCGTACCATTTCAACTATTTACTTTAAATAGCAGCTACTTCATTTAACTGCTATCCATTATGTTTAGTGACCAGTTTCAAATGTTTATTCATTGTGTTTATTTATCCAAGAGCCTATCTTATAATCTCGGCTATTTATTTAAACTGTTAGCAAACAATTTATATAGCTGACAACACTTTTAGCTAATAATTTTCAACCCTTTATTCATAATTTTAGCTCACTTTTTCATCTGCTTTCTAGTTATGTTTAGATATCATTTTGAGCTTTTTAGCTACTGATTTAAACTGTAACAGCCATATTTTCAGCTACCTGTTTTAAAATCAAGCTACAGTCATGTCAAAAAGAAGGTTTCCAAACAAGTCTATGCAGAATACTGAGTGCGAGTACATCCTTGCAAGAATTTGAAGTGAAAAAGTCCAGTTAATTTTTTTCCCAAACTCCTTAGACTATATCCTTAATACTTCCATAGAAATTAAGAAGAAGCAGCAGCCATGTGCAGCTACTTATGATCAAATAGTGCAGGACCTGGTTGGACTGATCATCAGCAAGTGTGACCAGTGACCAGAAGTTTTGTCAGGTGTCTCACAACACAATGTCACAATCTTCAGCAAATTCTCCCCAAAGTCAGGCTGTGCAATGATCAGAGAAACTAAAAACCCAAATTATACATTTTAAAGTGACAGTACTTTTGCGTGGGAACTAATTCTTTGTGCAGGGTAACAGTTTCCACACAAATATTATTAAATGAGACCCAGTGATTCCAAGCAGAGCAGCTAATATACAAAAAGGATTGCTGAAAAGGAAAAGAATCAAGGTGTTGCAACGGCCCTGTCAAAGTCCAGACTTCAACCCCAAAGAAATGCTGAAGTGGAACCTTAAGAAAACTGTGCATAAACAAATAACTGCAAACTTCAATAGGTCAAGATTCCTCTGCAACAATGCGAAAAACTGCTAAAGTCATAGAGAAAATTATCACTTCAAGTTACTGCTGCTAAAGAATGCACATGGGATGTACTCCGTTTTCCAGAAGACTGCATAGTCTTTTTCACATGACTGTACTTTAACCACTTTTCACTTCTTGTTGAGATAAATGATTAAAATCTATTTTAATCAGTTCTGCATGTATTTTGGCCCTGCATGCTGTTTAGCTTTGATTAGCTACCCCGGGAAGCACTTGTACACAATGGTTGGGAATCCCTGCGTTACAGAGCAGGAATGTTAAGCAAATGTTAATTCATAGTAACTGTTAAAATCTCTATCAAAGATAAATACTACAGTATGTGCATGCTTCCCTTTCAACATCACTGATGTGGCCTAGAATTTTGCAAAATGTTTGTGAGGTCTGACATACAAGAAAGCCCCGAGTTTTACTGTTTGCTCAGGGTTATTTTGAGGTTGTAATCAGAGAATATGCTGGCCCCAGCCTCACAACAGGAAGCATGTCACATCCTGTGCACTTAGACACCAACCACAGGTTTAAATCTAGGAAAACACATACACACACACACACAGACCCCCATGTAAACCAATCACTAATCACTGGTCAGCACTGTTGCCTAAAAAGGGAGGAACCTCTGAGCAGGACCCTACACAGTTGAGTGGTTCTTGCCTGAGCTCATGAAATGACACACTGGCTTTACCTCTTTTCTCTGGGCGTCTCAGTCAAGTTGAATGTTCTCTGCTCTGTAATCGACAACAAGGACAAGCATATCAGTATGCCAGACATAGATGTCAATACGGTGCATAGATCCAAAGTGAATCAGCAGAGGGTTAAAAAAATCTTCCCCATTTAAAATTGAGTCAGAAACTAATATAGAGATCATGGAAAGAGTCTGGAGCCAGAAAACCCCTACAGAGAAAGAACAAAACACAGCAGCAAGTCTTGCCTCGAAAAACCAGATGATAGCAACGATGGAAAAAGGAAAAAAAACAAAGAGGAGAAACGCAACATGTACCCAAATGGAAGAATAACAAAAGCTTCAGGACAGGAACAATTCTGCTATTAGATGATCTAAAGGAGATCTTCATTCTTCCAATGCTCCAGTCCTCTTTTGCTCAGTCATTTTTTATATAAGGCAGGAGAACTACTATTTTATTACAAAAAAAAATCTTAATTAGTTTTAGAGAAAACTGTGCATGTAAGTGTACCAAAAATTAAATCCCACAGAAGATGCAGAGGTGCACAATTTATGCAACAATGACAAACATGTTTTTTGTTTGTGTGAAAATATCTGGAAAAATCCTTTTACAACACAAAGTGTAGTAAAATGATTTTGCTTCTCACGAGTTCCTCTTGCAGATTTTTCAGCTTTGCATAAATATACTTTTTACAGTGTGTCATAAAAAAGTTTATAGATACCAGATATGAATTTTAATTGTGCAGCCCTGCCCCATGGTTCACCAGAAAGAGACTGAAATGCTTTTTTCCGACCAGCTCGTAGTATTCAAGCTGTTGCTCGACGTCTTTCTTGTACTTACTAACTTGGTTGAGACGAGATAGGGATTTAGAAAGAGATAAAGCCTGAAGTAGAGAACGACCGCTGCTGTTGAATGCTCCATCTACACAGGATAAAGCATGACCTTTACTTACAATCACCCTCACAAGCAGATCTATTCTGAAGCAAAGCTGACACAGATATACTTCATGGAGCTTCAGCTGATTTCTGACACCTGTCTGGTCTTCCCACTGTTGAACATGTGGCACATTTGTCCATTCAGCTGCCTCTTGGGAACTATCGGGGCAAAGGGGGCAAAGTTCACTCACCTTCTTCCAAATCAGTGATTGTTGCATCGCGGTTTAGCAGTGGCCGTGACGGCTTTGCTTTAGGGGAGGAGTAGGAGTAGGAGCGAAGACGGACCTCAGCCTCCTCTGGGCTCTAGGTGAGAAAACAAATCACAACAGTAATTAGAAGTTCACAGATTCAATCCTGTGAACAGCAAAATCAGAGTGCATCAGAAACCTGCAGGACAAACAGACCAATAGACTCTGCCCTTTCGTCCATGTTATTGAGCTGTTTATAGTCTGGGCTTATTTATTAAAGATTGTAAGGCAAAGCTGTCTCTTTTGTAATGCTTAGCATACACTGTATGACATGGGTTTTTCATTTTTTCCTACTGAAAAATTGATGATTAATTTAAAAAAAACAGAAGACAATCAAGGAAAATATTCAAATGGAACAAAAACTGTGTCGAGGATATTATGGTGACTTAATAAGACACATTTTTAATTCATAGTTTATACAAGCTTATGATAATGTTTTGTGAACCAGAAGGGAAGGGGTATACCTTGGTTGATTTGTGCGTGATGTCGGATTGCGCACGACTGAAATCTGGAGAAGCGTCAAAAGAGTCTCTCTCTTCTCCTGAGCTAGAGCGCAGAGTGGACTGTTGCCTTATAGATGAGGATGGGTAGGAATGTCCCAGTATGTCCTCCTCTCCACTGTCACACTCTAGACTAGGGCTGTGCACAATCATACACACACACGGATTTAAACACACACGTGTCTAGGTTAAGGTCCTGTCATTCGCTAAAAGTGACTGACTGTTAATACTTTACTCCACATTATGTTAAGAACAAAATAAAACTGGCTATAAAGATCCTACTGACAGTGTAACTCTTGGCATCACACATTCACATTTGCAGAATATAGTTGGAGACAAACTGTATTCCGACACCTATCATAAACCAGAAAAATGTGCAGAACCATAACAACACCTATTCTGATTGAAATACTAACAATAAAGTGTGCAAGGACCATAACATCACCAGCTGCTCAGAAGCTCAAGTAGGAAGGGCAAGTTTTAATTCTAAACTGCAGCATTCCACAAAATAACACACTGGATCCTGATGAGCTGTAATATTTTGCAGATGGACCTCATGACCTGAGAATCAGCCCATCAACCATTGATTTTCTACCACTTATCCAGGGATGGGTCGCAGGGCAGCGGCTTAAGCAGTGAAGCCCAGCGCTCCCTTTCCCCAACCATCTCCTACAGCTCTCATCCACAGGAACCCAAGGAGTGTTCCCAGGCCAGCCAAGAGACATAATCTCTGCAGCGTGTCCTGAGTCTACCTTGGGGCTTCATTTCAGTACGACATGCCTGGAACACCTCATCCTAATCAGACGTGGAGGACTAGTGGTTCTACTCTGATTCCCTGCCAAATGACTGAACTTCTCACTCTATCTCTAAGGCTCGAGCCACTCTTCACAGAAAACTCATTACAGACACAAGAAAACCTGTATCTGGATTCTCATTCTTCCATTCCAAGAGACCTTCAATTCCCACCTCCAGCATTCCGAGGGAAGTGGGGATATTGAGTCTGAATGAAGGAGTCCTTTACTTTTATGGCGCTGCTGTTTATGGCATCCGCAGACTTAGTTAGCTTGTGGGATGCCGGAGGCAGCTGACAGGTAGGTGGCAGTAGGTGAAGAAAAATTTGGGTGCGGGAGGAGTCCATTATGTTCAAATCAAACATTGATGTTGACAGTTCTTTTGCCAGACTCTGCATTGCTGAGAAAAATGAAGCAATGTTCAGCAACTTCAGCATGCTTCCTGCCGCTTTCCACACCTTCACTTAAAACAATGCAGGGGGGAAAAATGATCTTGCTGAAATTCCAAGCAAACTGGAGTCTGCTGTCTTTGTATGGATTAAATGGAAGACTGCTTATCATCCAAGTCAACAAAACCCCACAACACACTTCACAACACACAGTCTGTTTGACCTGCTCCCCTCAGGCAGGAGGCTCCGGTCCATTCGCACCAGAACCTCTCGCCATAAGAACAGTTTCTTCCCCTCTGCTGTTGGACTCATGAACAATAACCGTATGACTGTTCCCACCACTAACACATGACCCTACGCTGTGTTCACTGCATCATTCCATGTTTGGCACTGATCACCACCTGCACTCATGTATATATCTATCTACTTAACACTTTTAATTCCTATTCTTATTTTTATTTTTATGTCTATTTTAGCGTAATTTATGACAGTATGTTTGCACTGAAGCACCGCAGCAATTTCCTAATGTTGTAAACCTGCTCAACATTTGGCAATAAAACCCTTTCTGATTCTGATTCTGATTCTGAAGTGGGTCGGAGTGATCTTTAACATAATCTCAATAGAAGAAATAGTCTAAACCTTTTCAAGAATAACTGCAATTGTGTCCTACCTCAGGCCTCGGCTTGCCTCTGTGAAGCTGCATCCTCTACGACTCAAAGAAGGAGAGCGTGGCAAGCCTGTCTGCGGCTGACGCTTGTGTGCTTCCTCAAACAAACGGAGGGCGGAAGCCAGGGGCGAGGAAGGAAAAGATGGGGAGGAAGCGAAAGGACAGGGGGGGGAGACAAGAGGGGACTGCTCTCTGTGGTTCTCCAGGCCAGAACCTTGGATTCCCCTCAGCCTGTTGTGGGGTGACGATAGGCACCGGCTCTGGGAGCAGTTCCCTGAATTAGGGGGAGTCACAGAGAACGAATCCCAGCTGGAGCTGTCAGCATGAGATGCAGGGCTGACCTCCTCTTCCCCTGGAGAGCGGTATTTAATGTCAGCATCGTCCACCTGGAAAAGAAAAGTGAGAATGCAATGAGAGAGACCCCAAACTGTTCCACCAGATGATTTGCAGCTCATCCAGTGAAACGATTCACATCTTATGAGCAAAGTCTGTTGTTCATGCGCTGTTCTAAATTATATCCCTGTCGTAAACTGCATTTTACCTAATGACACTGTATAGAAAAACTTGAGCAACTCACCTGATCCACCAGCATGGCGTTGGCATACACTTGGTCTTTGCCGTGTATCATCACTGACAGTCTGGCAGCTGCAGCCAGTGTTGGAGACGAGGCCTGGCTCTCCCTTATGGACTGGCTTTTCTCTACAGAGAGAGAAGAATGCACAGAGAGCCGGGATTTTTCAATATTACATTTAGTTTCCACAGCAACACCAAATAACTTCTCACAAACACGGGAAGTGACATAGACATCCTGGGCAGTTGCTTGTCATTGTTCAGGACTAAGAGTCTCTGTATGCGTTTGTGTGTGTATGAGTGTGTGCATGTATGTGTGTGTGCATGCCTCTATCTGAATGGCTCTTTGCACACACGCGTGAAAGGGCGTGCACGGAGTCAAGAGTACACATCTGTAGGCTTGTTTCTTCTCCACCCTGCCTTCGATGCAGTGGGTGAGTGGAAATAACTCCTGGTGAGCACACAGTAGCATTGAGAGGAATCCTTTCAACACAGAAGAGCCACTGTGAGCAGCAGCCTGGTTTTACTGTTAAACGGGGAAAAACACTCCTGCTCTCAAAACACGCAAAGCTCCCTCTGGGATGTTGCTCTGTATAAAGCACACACACTCTCCACAACTCAGTTTCTTATGAAGTATTTCAGGTTTGAAAATAACCGATTCACATAAACAAAGAAGGTAAAAGTTACCAGTAATACTACACATAACAATAAACCTTTGGTAAGACGCTAATGGGCATATTATTTTTTAAGAAAGTTTAAATGCTCTATACAAACTAGTTTTTTACTAATAACAACAACAACAATAAAATAGTCATTATTTATAGAGTACTATTAAAATGCAACTTAAAATGATACTGGCAGCAAAATAAACACATAGGTCATAAAATCTTACTTTTCTACACACAAAAAAAATGTATATAAAATGGTTAGCATCAGATAAAAATCCTCAAAAGCTATAAAACAGCTAGAAATCAGGTGAGACTAAATAGTCAGCTGCTGCTTTTAATGTGAAAAATAACCACAGTAACAATTATTTTCAAACTTACTTGCAAATTCTGACTGCTCATAAAAAATCTCTATTAAACACTAACCAGGTACACTGACTTTACTTTTTTTAATAGTTTTTTTTTTTTTACTGCTACTAGATAACCATCAGCAAAATGTGTGTTTCTGCCAGTGTTAGGTAATATTACTTTTAAAAGTAAAATGCTTAACAAGCTACAAGATTATTGTTTTACTTTCTGTTAACTTCCTCAAAGTGAAGGTTTCTCTTTTCTATGCCATCTCGCTAGGTGAACTACACATGTGCACAAGTAGCAGGAACAGGACAAAAAGAGCACAAATGTTTCAGCGATTGCCTTTTTTGATTTCAAAGCATCAAAGTGAAAATGGGACGTACAGTAAAATGATTGGTTAATCGCCAAAGTAAGTCAATTTATGATTACTTGAACTGCGAAACTACCACCATTACATTACATTACTTGTTAACAAAAGAAAAAAAGTCATCAGTCTGAAGAAAGAAAACTTGTAGAGGAATTTACATTAAGCCGAAGATTCAACAGAAAAATCTAATCACACCAGCAGCTGGTGCATTTCTGGTCGTAGTAACCAGAAGAGGAGGTCTCATTAGCGCAGTTACATTATTAAGCTAATAATGACATTCTCACCTTGCCGTGACCGAGCTTTGCCTCCTACAGTGTCTTTGCCACAGCAAGACTCAACATTCTTCTTTTAAAGTAAATCAATAGTTTATCCATTGTGTCCAAGCTGCCAGCACTGCAGAATAATAATAAAAAAAGGCATTCAGCAACTGTAACAGTGAATAAATCAAAGAAGAAACTGGCTGTGCTTCCTATATGCTGCAAGTTAGATAAATATGAGAGGCAAGAGGGAGCTGAGCTAACACTGATGAGGACACCAGATGATTCCCATTACATCCATGTTAAACATAAACGAATTAACCCAAGTTTAAGTACTGCAGCATATACAGAGATGACTGCACATCACTCCAGGACAGCCAAAGTTTTTATATCTCTCAGCGAAATTCTTACATTTTTACAACCTGATTCTCCATTGTTAAAAACGTCTGGATTCTCTTAGTTTCACCTGAAGAGATTATACTGTATATGAACCTCAAACCAAATTCACTGTACCTGCGCAAAGTCACATAAAACTTTCTGCTATGTAGAAAAGGATTCGTTTTAGTCCAACATCAAATCCACAGAATGGGCTTAGATTCTGGATGTGGGTCAAACTGCTGTTTGAAAGCAGATATCATTTCATATAAACCTACTTTAGGGACTTGACAGACAGACCTAATAGTTCAGGCTCTGGGCAGGGTCCAAAGCCACAGCTGGCTGCTGTGGCCTCAATCATTCACACACCTCTGACCCATAAATTCTGGCTCAGTGAACATTACTGTCGGGCAGTGTGATCTGTGTTTAACATTAGTTAACTGGGGGAATAACAGAAGCAGGGTGTTCATATTGCCAACAAGTTACAACAGCAAAAAGTAATTCGTCCTGCTGGAAAAGCTGTCTTTATTCCCGAGGCAGAGTAAGCAGTCAATCAGCTGTGACTTGAAAGGGGATGTTTTTTTTTTTTTAAAGAAAAGCAGAGCAGTATGCGGATCTATTTATGTAGGATTTCTGCTCGCTAAAAGTAAAGCTGAAGTGATGTGATATTCAGAGCATGTCCCTTAGTGAGAAGCAACCGTATACAGTAGCAATGCCTAAAGTAGCAGCAGCGAGAAAAACAGAGACCGAGAGAGACTCTATAGCAAAACAGACAAAGACAGCAGTCAGTGCCAGGTTTCCAGACCAGGGCAGTTAAACACAGAGAGTGACCCTTCAACCCATGCACACCCCTGGGAGAGGGAGACCGAGGTAGGCAGGATGAAGAGGAGGGGGAGGCAGCGCAGCCACAAGGCTTCTTTCTCAAGGTTCACTCCTTTTAGAAGCTGTAGGGCAAAACATAAAATTCAAGATAAACATACAATAACAATGATTAATTGTATAAACACCTAGGCTTGCTTATTATAATTATAAATGGATTATTTGTTCATGCTGTTCCTTCTTTTATGATGTAACTTGCTTTACAAGGACCACACTAAACAGCTGTCACTTTGATGAGAGCTGAAAGTAAAATAACAAGCCAAGTCTCAAAGAATCACAACAGGAGGTCTTATTACCTTATAAAAATAGGGGAGGCATTTATTTAACTTTAGTGTTCGGGACTTTTAAATCATTAGAACAATTGTCCACCAACATCCACAAAACCACTCTGAGTTATGACACCTGTGGTCAAACATCCCAATCCAAGCATCACAGGCCCATTGTATTTACAGGAAAAGGTGAAGCCAGAACGAGCCGTGCAACTCTCAGAGCAAAGAAATAAACGTCTGTCTGTGCACACCTGAAATCACATTTCACTTTGCAGGTGTATTGTTAGACCAGAAAAAAAAGAAAGTCGAAATCGAGTAGAAGCAGTTCAGTTCAAAAAGTTGATGCAGTGCCACCGTTTCTGTTCCTCATTGAGAGAGCATGGGCCAGCAGTGAGTATAAAGCTAGCCTGTGTCAATCACAATTACAAAGCAATAACATAGATAATCTTGCAGAGGTTTATGGTGAAAGATGAGGAAAAGACAACTGGAGCTGAGCCATGACACAGCCGTGGCAGTAACATAATCTTTCCCCGTGTCTGTCTCTCTGATCCTAACTCCCTCTCTCTTTCTCGCTTCTCCCAACAAACACAGAATCACTTGTACATAAGCAACGAACTGTTTAACCACTCTGGTTTAATCATGCACTATTTTTAGCATTTAATTTAACTCTCCCATGACTAACAATGAAATAACAAATTTTTATGCCAGGATGAAGTATTAACCAGATTTTGGTTCCGTGCCTGATAATAAACCAATACTCAATTCAATCACAGTCACTCTTTCACTGACACCTAAACAACCAATTAGAGCTATCAAGTGCAGTTCCCTGAGGCTAGGGATATGACCGCACATATTAAACAGTGGGCCTCCCATTTGCACTGCAACCTAGCAGTCACATGAGGCCACGACTTCTCAGCAGGGTTTAGATGCACACAACAGTTTGAAGATGGTGAAAGCCCCAAACCACTCAATCAGCCTCGAGTGGACATCTGACATTCCCCAACATACTGTCAGGTATCAGGTTACATCACTGGTAAACATGCAGTTAGCTCTCTCTGACAGACTCGGTGCTGCAGTGGATGTCTGTGAGTAAGAGTGTGTAATGGGAAAAGTCTAATTTTAACTTTATTGTTCCACAGTGAATGGTGAAACATGCCTGCCAACAGGGCATTTAGAAGTTAAGTCCTGAGTTTGCCAGAAGAGCTGCCTAATCTGTGTTTAAAAAGTTAACATTTTTCACTTTAAAATGATTCCACATGTTTTTCCAAATCTTTTTTGTGTCTGTCAAACACTGCAGACATCAACATGTCAGAAATGTGTTTTAAGGACGTCAATGACAGTGAAGTGAAAAGTGAATTAAGATTTGTGGATACTCGCAGAACTATACCTGTCAAAGCGACAGAATAGCAAAACTACTTTTAAATATGGTTTTTAATGCTGCGTTACCTTTTTTCCCCATCTTCCGGCGCATCCTCATCTTGGGAAAAGAAGGCCAGGAGTAGTTGAAAGGGCAGTCGGAGTCAGAGTCCATGAGTTACGATCTTATAGAAAATCTTCATCCGAACAGTTCGATGTGTGTGATGAATAAATGAGCAGTTACGTCTATTCCCACATGGCTGAACAGACTGCGGACTAGCTGTAGCACTCACTCTCCTTTTTTTCCCCGGAGCCCTGCTGCAGACACTCTGACACTTCAGGAGTGAGCCAGCATGTTCCCCTCTGTCTCCCCCAACCACCCCTCCCCCTAAACTACTCCCCTTCCCCCTCCACAGCTCTCAACCAACTGTCCAGCAGAGCCGGGGCTGAACTCTTTCTTTTTGAGTTTCCTCTCTGTCTGCTCTTCTTACATCTGAGCAAACTTTTAGGTAACTAAGTCAGTCTCTGCCTTCTTTGCTCATATACCACACACGGTCATGAGAAAGAGGGAGCGAGCTATACACATGCTGACAGCAGCAGAGGGAGGGACTGAGGAAGGGAGAGAAACAGTCAAATATAGGACTGACTTTAGAACCGGCAGCGAAGAGAAACATGAAGCCAGACTGCTTATTGAAAGTGAGTCTCAGACATGATAGAAATCATTAACCCTGTGAGTCCATAACTGTCTCGGAGAGATACCAGGCTGCATAGCTGAACACTACCCAGTTAAAAGCACTGGCAATTCATCCCAAATATGCCTAATGCCATCTGAAGAGAGTCCTTCTCAATCACTCCATTCTCTCGTTCTCTATATTTTAGCATGTCAAAGCCCAGCTGAGAGGGGAGGAGGGACTGCCAGGTTAGCAGCTTCTCCATGGAGACAGCACAGAGAGCTGCTGCTGTTTTCTTCATCCATGTTTCCTCCTCTTGCCAAACTGCAGGAGTACAGTGCTCCAATTGCAGCAGCACAGATACAAGTGAAGATCAGCAAAAAGGATGGTAAAGAGGATTTACAAGACAAACTGGACAATGGCACTGTGAAAAGAGGTCAAGCATGGGTTTACACATGCACATAAATGAAGGAATGTGAAAAACAGAGAGAGAAAAAGGAGATGAGATGGGTTTTGCAGGCAGAATATACGCGAAGAGTAGAAAAAGAGGTACACTGTGACTATAGAAAGTTTCTGTGTATGTGCATGGGGAGGGGTGATGGAGGGTGTTGGCACCGGGCTAGTGAACATTAATGCTGCCTTTGTGGGGTCTGTGTGAGGTTTAATCCTTTTTTCCATTCTCCAATTAGATCCCACAGTCGGGGTCGCAGACTCTTCTCTGCGCTCCTGGTGCTGCACTTATCGTTTGTTGACACCCTGCCAAACTATCCATATCATAAATCCCTTTCTCTCACAGTTTCCCCCCCTATTACACACACACACACACACACATAAACACACACTGCTTTAACACTCCTCTGCTCTCCTTTCCCTGGAGATCTCAACAAGCTGCTGGAAAACTGCATTCAGCAAAGCCCTGGCAACCCCCATTCAACCACAAACACCCCCTTTTTACTTCCCTATACCCCTGTCCCACTCAGAGCACTCTTCCCTACTGAATTCTTCCAATCAAATACACAAGTGAACACACATGCACACAGAAACTTCTTCCCTCTCCTCAACTGTGGAGGAGAGCAGCGCTCCTCGGGATGAAGTGGCCTTTGCTATTTGTTCGCTAAACTCACATTAAAATGCTGACCTGGAAGGATGTGATGGGGAATGGTATGTGTATTCGTCTGTATGTAGGCATTTGGGTGCAAGAGTGTGTTTTGGGTGGGGTATTTAAATATCGGGGGCATTAGGAAGGCAGAGATGGGGGAATGTGTGACTGAAGAAGACAAACAGTCCTTTATCCCTCTCAAAAAAATCCAAATTATCATATGAATCTTGAAAAGAGTAGTTTTCTATATACATACAGTCATGTCAAATAAGTTACAGTAATCTGAAATGGAGACAGGAAAGATGACATCAAGAAGATAGGGGAAAGATGACAGCTACATTCGAAATTCCTCATCCCTAGCTGAAGCGCTGGATACACAAGTTCTGTCTGTGTACCCGATGACGCATTCGCTCAACGTATGCAGTCAAATTGTTAGTGTTAACAAACAGACCAGAATCACAATATAAGCTTCACTACTTCACTAAAAAATGTAAAAACCTTCTAGCCACTCACGATACCTGACAGGCCAGGAATGTTTACTGAAGAATTTAAATTCTTTAAGGGTCAAATGAGCACCTTTATCCCAGAAGAATGGCATGTATGAAACCTGAGTCATTTCCAGTCTGAGCTGTGTTCATTCAAACATGACCCACTGAGGGGAAACTTGTGCAAAACATCATTCAAGTGACCAATATTATTTGATCTGAGCCACAGAAGGTGATTTAAGGGGTCAAAAGAGGCCAGAGGGAGGCAGACATCACAGGCTACACGAAAATGATGAAGAGCTTCCACTCAGCTAACAAACACAGAGAAACATGCACACAGAGGACAAAATGGCTTAACCATTTAGCATGAAAAACTACACTCACCACAGGATGCTAAGATTACAGATGTTCAGTGCCAAGTGTTATAAAGTCTGAAGCCTCAGCTTGTAACCACAGCATTCTTACACTGAGGCATCAGTCTGGTCTGCAGTAATACCAGCCAATTATTAACCCACAGGATGTTCCCACTCTCAAATCCTTCCTATTGCAATCCAGGAGTACATCAGAGTGAAGCCACCTTCAGCCATTTAGTCAGGAATTGGCTTGGTTTGTTTCTGGTCGCCTGTCACTATTGGCAGAAGCAGGATGAAGTGTTCATTAAAAAAGAAAAAAAAAAAAAAAGATCCTGCTCGGTTCAACAATAACTGTAAACACAGAGTGACACGACTAAAAAAACTTCAGGGAGAGGGGGGCAAGACAAGCCAGGGGCCTGAAATGTGATCCTATAGTCAGCGGGGACAGTCGGCAGCCATAGATGATGGTTAGAGTTCCAAGTTCTGTTCAGGAAAGGAAATGTTTCCTGCAGTTTGAACTCACTCAATAATTTGAAGCTACTTGGATAACTTCCTATGAACATAACAGCACCTAAAACAACAGTGATCGATTTCCGTCTGCACAAAAGTTGATGTACCACAAACTCTACAATTAAAACCACAGCTAAAAACGGACTTCTAAAAAAACAAAATTACTTTGAAAGAAAATCTTACCAGAGTCAGACTGTGAAGGCTCGTCTTCTTCGTCCTCCTCATTCAGACAGAACATCAGCGGCTCCTCGTGTACTTCGGAGTAGAAACTGGGAACCTTTAACGAAACAGCATGCACATTTCCAGCATACCACAAAAACCGAAAAAAACGAGTAGAACTAAGTAAAAAAACACAAGTGTTTGGCGAGTGCCTAGGTGTGTGAGACAGATCAATTAGTTAACCATCTGTAACACATTAAACTGTTCCTACTGGATGACAAGAATCATGTGCACACACCACACTTCTCAAAACACGAAACACACACTTGACCGCTCACAAAGTCAGCTATTCAGTGGTGTGTGCAAGGTGCCAAATCCAGCACCTTGACAATAAGAGTGAAAAAAAAAAAAACAACAACTGTGGAGCATTGAGAAGCAGACAATGCTCCACAGTTATTGTAGCAGTGCTTGCCACTAGCTGGTACAGATGTTCATGGAAAGTGAATAAGTGTGTTTAAAATGCCACCTGTAATAACATATTCAGGAAAATTGGAAGGAACGCCTCTTGTTGCACGGAATTTGTCAAGAATATTCGGATCATATTGTAATTCATAGACTTGTACGCATGTGAATCCTTATAAAAATGTTTTACTGCCGTGCGTTAAATACTTACATTCTCTTCAACGGCAGAGTTTTCTCCATTTATGTCAGGATACAGTGCTGAAAAAAAGACAACATTTTCAGACATAGCCATCAAACTTCAAAAGAAACACAAGTAAGCACAGATGCTTGCCAGTTTTTAATGATCCCACGTAAACGCAGGTTTTTGTTTTCTTTTCATAAACCTGGGGGATTTATTTATTTTTACTGTGTGGCCTTGATCTCCATTTTCATTTAATTACCATGTTCATCCTAGATCAAAGGGCACGGTGTATGATGGCTTACCAGTAACAAGGCAGAAATACATGGAAATTAGTGTTTGGGTGGTTTGATTAGTGGCCTTGGGTGATGTTGAAAAATGAAGGCAGGATATGTAGCAGAAGTGGCCCATAAAAGATAGATAGGCTGGAACAGAGTTTCAGAGAGAAGAGAAAAAGTAGTGCCAGAGCTTGAGAGACAAAGACAGAGGGACAAAAAAGAGAAGGATGAAATATTTCAAAAATAAAAACAAAACTAGCTCAGATACTGTCAAAGATACTGTCAATCACACTAGTGATGTGGCTTGGGATCTCAGTGGAATATGCCAAATACTAGTGGGTAAACTGCTTTAAAATTCCCTACTTAATGTCCACAGGCCTTATGTAGGGAATTTTTATAAGAATTTTTATGCCATGCTGAGTTTTCCTGTAGCACCAGGAACAGGTCAAAGTTTTTATTCATCTATTTAAATATCCTTAAATATCCACATTTAAAAACAAGGCCTACATCAGATTTGAAGAACTCTTTATTTTACTGAGCTTCCTTTATATCTGCTTGATGAAGTAGTAAATCCATCCTCTACTCTTTATCCAAATCTACCACTGGAAGGAATGATTAAGCAGACTTGCCCAAAACTTCCCACATTTTATTTTATAAACAAAATATCTTCAACTACCTTGTTTTTTAAATGATTATGTTTGATGAGAAATACTTTTAAGCAGAAAGTTTTGAAGTAGACTGTTGTTATTGTTTTTAATTATTTCCCTGATAACTGACTAACGATTGATCATCTATTCAGCAAAGAAATGAGAAACCGCCACCTTCATACAGTTGACTTGTTTTTTGCCATATCTTTGCAGTACCCACAAAGCCCAGATGAGGGCAGTCAATTTCTACTGAAGTCTGCATGACACCACAGTGTGTAGATTCAATACAGTGAAAAATAGCAAATCATCTCAACATGAAAGAGGAGAGCTAAGACTCCATGGTTTAGTTTAATCAGGCCTCCAAATCCCACAAATCAGACAGATTGAATGTGTATGATACCACTGTCTGCAGGATCATCCACTAGTTCTTCCTTCCCTAAGATCGTCTCCACCCGCTCCCTCCTTAGTGCTTTGATCTGTAGGAGAAAAAGCAGCATTTAAATCAAAAGATTCGGTAAACTGAGAAAGTATTGTATTTATGGGTTTTGATTTTTCTGTTTAGTTAGTTGCACACCTGCTACCTAACCTTAATTTAATAGTACCTTTAAGAACCTTGAACAAAAAAAACCCATCCTCAACAAAAGCTTAATCTGTCATTTTTTTTGTTTTGCTTTTATATAATTGTAATCAACTACCTTTTTCTAATTTATTCTTGTGTTTACAAATATCACCTTTACAATCTTTACGACCATCATAATATTGTTCTGCTCACCCCTCTGAGGAAGTCCTCATCTCTCAGTCGCTCTCTGAGAAGCAGGATGTCAGCATGTCGGCTCTCCTCCGAGCTCCACCTCAGGTTTTGTCTGACAGTCAGAGTCAGGTTCCCCATGTCATGACAGAACCTAAGCAGGCGAGATCTGTCTGCCCACACCTGGGAAAGACCAGCGGGAGGTGTAGCTAGTGGATTGGGTGGGCTGCAAAACAACAGAAAAAAATATTAGGCATTAGGGTTGATATTTCGAATACTGTTTTTACTATTTTCCCAAACTTCTTTAACATATTGCATATCACATTTACTGTCATTAAGTGCATATGATCTGGTCTTGTAGGCAAAATAAATTAACCTGTAAGGGTGTGGATCCAGTTAGAGGTGGAGTTTTCAGGTAACACAAACAGGTGCAGCCAAGTGGCGGAGGGCTTTCGCTTTGGTGGCCTCAGAATCTCATCTCTGATTTTTGCAGATGATGTGGTTCTGTTGGCTTCATCGGGTGAGGGCCTCCAGCTCGCACTGGAACGGTTCGCAGCCGAGTGTGAAGCAGCGGGAATGAGGATCAGCACCTCCAAATCGAGGCCATGGTTCTCAGCCGGAAAAGGGTGGAGTGCCCACTCCGGGTCGGGGATGAGTTCCTGCCCCAAGTGGAGGAGTTCAAGTATCTCGGGGTCTTGTTCGCGAGTGATGGGAGAAGGGAGCCGGAGATCGACAGACGGATTGGGGCTGCAGCTGCAGTAATGCGGACGCTGCACCGGTCCGTCGTGGTGAAGAGGGAGCTGAGTGTAAAAGCGAAGCTCTCAATTTACCGGTCGATCTACGTCCCTACCCTCACCTATGGCCACGAGCTGTGGGTAGTGACCGAAAGAACGAGATCGCGGATACAAGCGGCAGAAATGAGCTTCCTCCGAAGGGTGGCTGGCCTCTCCCTTAGAGATAGGGTGAGAAGTTCGGCCATCCGGGAGGGGCTCAGAGTAGAGCAGCTGCTGCTCCACATCGAAAGGAGCCAGCTGAGGTGGTTCGGGCATCTGACAAGGATGCCCCCTGGGCGCCTCCTGGGTGAGGTGTTCCAGGCATGTCCCACCGGGAGGAGGCCCCGGGGCAGACCCAGGACACGCTGGAGAGATTATATCTCTCGGCTGGCCTGGGAACGCCTTGGTATTCCCCCGGATAAGCTGGAGGAGGTGGCTGGGGAGAGGGAGGTCTGGGCCTCTTTGCTTAGGCTGCTGCCCCCAGCGACCCGGCCCCGGACAAAGCGGATGAAGATGGATGGATGGATGGACAAACAGGTGACATATGATAACAAAATGCACTTCATCACTTCAATATAATCACAGTATTTTGGAAATTTAGAAATGGATTTGAAACATAACTGGGTCTTGTTCACCATGAAGGAAGTTTTGCCTATAGTGTTGTGCTACTGCTTGTCATGGTTCTGGGTCCAGTTGGACCCAGCAATTGAGTTTATTATGTTTTGGTTTACTTTGGCATCATGGATTATTCTTTATGTTTCTCTGGTACTTTGTGTTTCAGTTATCTTGGTGTTTTGGATTGTTTTCTCATTCTCTTGTTGTGATGATGATGATGTTTATTATTAGAGTTTCATGTTTCTGTTTATCCATGTTTTAGGAATTGTGGTTTCATGTATTATTTTCTGTCCGTGTCTTTTAGTAGTTCATGTTTCCTGTTTTATTGTGAAAGTCGTTGTCTTAGGTTAGTGTGTGCAGCTTTGTTCCCCCCTGTCTCGTTAGCCCTGATCTCTCCCAGCTGTGTCTCCCTCCTGTTGCCCATTCCCTCATTACTACCCTGTGTATATAAGCCCTGTGTTTTCCCATGCTCTGTGTCGCGTCGTACCCTCAGAATTATGCCTGTGTGTTCAGTTCTCAGTGTCGTTTATCACCAGCAATAAAGCTAAGGTTCTCAGTTTCAATTCAGTCTCAGAGTCTCGCATTTGGATCCTCCTCTCCATCCGCCTGCACACAGAGCCCTGACAGGAGCACAGGAAACTTCTACACTGAATACACAATGTTTTATCAAAACAGTCATTCATTTGTCAGAGTCTCTCCTGGAAGCACCTCGTTAAAGTTTATAATCTTACTTGGAGAGCAGCTCCAACAGTTCAGTGTTGCCTGCTGTCTGTGCCAGCTGCAGCGGCGTGACTCCATTTTCGTTTGGCAGATTGACAGCCATCAAACCCCCAGGCTGGCAAAGCAACAGCTCTGCAAGTCGACACATACCCCATCGAACAGCTAGGTGGAGGGGAGACTCTCTGGGACAGTGCTCTGGAGAATAGGGAGAAAAATATATTACAATTTTAAAAAATGACATCTCTGAAGACATGAAAGAATGCAGCGGGATCCAAGACAACTGCTTAACCAGGAGGAAACTAGCATGTCAGAAATCTGGATAACCGTCTAATTAGGATAACTATCTGAACTGTCACTAACTGATTTCTATTCTTACACAGCACTGGATCCCTCTGGTCCACTGACCTATTTTAAGGCAACAGAAGCCTTTTAACAAGATCGTGACAACAGACAGTCTACAAATGTGACGACTTCTTAGATTTGTGTCTGCCATTTAATGCAGTCCGACAAGATTTCTATCTGTACCAGATAAAACTGCTCCAGCCGAAAAACATTTTACTCTCTAACAAGTTTTTTTTTTATCTTATTACTATTCCTTAAAAGAGAGAATAAGTTTACATTAAAGTACGTTAGTTAACTCCAATATAAATTACAAATGCTGTCTGAAAAGAATAAATTGCAGGAAAAATATACAAATATAACAGAAGCAACACTTGGTATCACTTAAAATTGTCATCTCATCATAAAAATGGTAGTTTTTTTTTTTTTTTTACATTGTGATACCATACAGTTTGTCCTTTTTACTGTAATGGGTAGCTGTGTAAAGATTAAGAAATACCCGCAGGATGATGAGAAATGAGTCAAGCTCTGTGCAAGAGCACTTAAACTTCAAATAATTCAGGACTGTATCACCTTTTCAGAATCACAATATTTCTAAGCTGACAACTAGTGTATTTCCCTTTACAGAGGATAAAACATACTTTAGAGAAACTAAACTGAAACTTCAGTCCCAAAAGTAGAAATAAAGAGAATACACCTGTGACTTCCAGTTATACTAAGTAAAGAAAAGGTTTTTATAAAAGAATCAGAATGGTCCCATGTTTAGTTTTTCCTCTTCCTTTTATACTTTGATGTTTCTATCACGATGCTTAAGTGCATCATGGATTTACATGGGTTCACAATGAAATAAATTACCAGCGAAAGTAAAACAAAAAATAATTATTTCAAGATTTTATACTTTTAAAAGAAGAAATAGTAAAAACAATAACTAAAAATATCAGTTGTTATATACTTGTAGAAGTAATGAGAATGAGTCACAGTACAACTAATTAGGCTGCTGTGAGCTTCCTCCTGAAATAATGCCAAAGACGGTGCATGATGTGAAGAATCTAGCTTCATAAAACAGACAGGAAGCGCTTCGTACTTAGCATAAGGCTTACCAATTGAAATCTTGAGTTTTTGTGACAGCTCATTCAGTATGAAGAACATTGCATAACAACCTCTGTGGAGAGAGTCCAAGAAAAAAAATGTCCTGGCTTGCTGTTCAGCACATTGCTGCAAGATTAAACTTTGCTAATGAACATGAAAAGGTGCCTGACGAATACTGGGTGAGATACATTTTTACAGCTCTGACTGGGTGCAGCATGAACTTGGCCAGGACTACCAGAGTAAATACACACAGAAGAACCATGAGCTGACTGTTGTTATGAATTGGTGCTATAAATACAATATATAAATAAAACTGACTTGAATTGAAAAGTTGAAATAATGAGGCACAGAGGTGACAGTGTGGTGAGTGCAAAAGATGTCAGGAGATGACTTATAGATGGAGCCATTAATGTCTGAAAATTAACCAGAATGCTTCCTGAAAAAATGATTCCTAATCTCCAGAAACCTGTCAGGAGAGGAGTACTAGGCTTTATCCTCTGACAAAAATCCAAAGTTCAATGACTGAATCAGTAAAGATTTTGAAGACTTGGTCAAGTGTGTCGCCACCTAAATCCAATAATAACATGTGAAGAGAAAGACAGAACAAAACAACCTAAGAAAGAACAGCTGAAAAAGAATGACAGAATCTCTCTCCAACAAATGTGCAACACTGGCATCCATGCCAGGATTTAGTGCATATTTGAAAAGTAGGGTGGACAGAAGACATACTGAAAAAATAAAAATGCAAATGTCATGAAAGCTGCACTGACTACTACTGACTGTACTGACTTCCTACTGTGCAGCTTCTATTTTTAATATAATGAATACAGCCATGTGAAGAACAAACAGCTTTCCATGCAGTCCTGTGAAAGACTAAGGCCAGACTTGTTGCTTCCATAAGAACTAAGAGAGTGTGTAACAGTCAGGTGTGACTGATAAAATGCACTTCATTAACTGATCATCAGCAACTGTGAACAACAACAGACGTTTTGGCATTTTGCAGGTCCGGAGCATTGAAATGCACGTTAATACAACGCTACAATTTTTCTAGTATGCTCAGTTTAAGAAATGTTCTCAGGAAGAACAGGATTACCTCCAGTGTCATCTTTTGTCTTTGTGACAGTAACAAGGATTTGTTAAGATGTTCCAGTGCTTTTAAATTTTTATTGAAAGCACTGCATGCAAACAGTGAGTACTTAGGAGATTCGGGGATTGATCATTGAGCTGTATTAAGCATCGGCAATAGAATGATGTCATAAGCAGTGTTATCAAATTAACTGCAGACATTTAGAGAGAGACGTTGCAATGAAACAGACTGCCATAACTATATTACAGCTAAATCTAGTTTGTTATTTATGTAGGTGGCCCTACACAAACACTCAGATCATACAAACAGATGGTGGCATCTAGTAAACTTGGTGGTCAGCACACACACAGGCCACACGCAAACACACAAACACATGCTCGCTCAGATTTATTGAGCTCTGCCTAGGGCTACTTCCAGATGGAAAGGCTCTATTAACCACATTACATGCTGCTTAATTGGCTTTGATGAATTTAACAGAGGAACACGTTGGACCATGTTCACTTCCGATTTCAGCCTGGTGAGCATGGAAAATGGGAATAATGGCTGGGGAGAAAGTGGGCAGAGGGGTTGCAGAGTTGAAGAGTTCAACCTCCTGGTATAGTTACCAGGACAGTGCTGAGTGATGCATTATGACAAAGGCTGTCAGCTACATTTCTAATCTATAGCTGTCCTCTTTTTTGTTTTTTGTATGAATAAACGTGTACATAATTAAATATATTATCCTTGTCTGTAAATCCACTCTTTAATTAAAACCCCTCCCTCTAACATGCCATTTTCCAAGCTACAACTTTGTTTGGATAAACAGAGTGTACCATTTTAAGAATTTTCAATTTTTTGTATTTTTAAATACATTTTTTCATGAAATAAAAACTGCATTTTATGTGTCTTTGATAAGCATAACTGTGTAGGAATCCCTGTTCTGCAAGATAAGACAGTGCAGCTCTCACCGTCTCCACTGTGGCTCCCGAGTACATTCCAGTTTGGGGGGATATCGAGGTTAGCCATAGCCAGGGCCACTCGGTGATCCATAGCCCAATGGGAGCTCTGCTGGCCCAGGTTGAAGAGGCTGCTCAGCTCGTTGTGATCCGTGGAGTTCAGACAATGTCCATGGATTACCAGGTGCTCTGCGAGGTCCTGTAAGGGTGCCAGTTATGAATAAGATACAATCAGGTGTAACTGAAGAGCTCTACAAAACATTATTTTCACTGCTGCCTTTGTATTGGAGCTTTTCCCATTCCAATACAAAAATGTCAGTAGAATTCTTATCAATTATATATGAACTAAAAAGCATGTGCACAAGAAAAAACTGTATTAACATGTAATTTTTACCACAAGCACACTTTTTTTGGCTTGTCTTACCTGAGCATCATCATGAACATACTCTAATGAAGCCTCGCCTACCCAGGTGAGAGGTATAGTTTCAGAGCACAGGTATGCCTGGACAGAAACCATCTCTGCCAGATTATGGCCTAAGCAAGCACAACAAAAGTTATATTTAACATCAGTTAAATAAACAATATCTTTTTATATGGTGGAACAAAAAACTCCAAAAGTTACAGATTTTTTTGTTCAAACTATGTTTAATAAACAGAAATAGAAGCCCAAAAGGGTGAAAGGAAATCTATCAAAAGGATTTATGGTTTGTGAGAAATGAGTCAACACTACAAAAACACACTATGGTTACAGGGCTTTAAGAATGCCTCCAAGCCCTTGGATATGTTTGAGTATCAGCTTTTCTTTTTGGATGCTAACAAAGGCACTTTTTGTTTTCTGCATTTCTGCATTGAGTTAGTATGTTTGAGAGTGCAAAGCCTGCAGGACTGCCTGTTGTTTGAGTCAACCTACACAGAGGCTCAGTAATAATGACATATTGTTCATGGAGCTGTTTCACTCCTATGTGGAAGCTGCTAAGATTCTGCACCCTGTCAGACCTCAAGCCACTGTAGGGACATGTTTATGTCTAAGCCAAATTCAAATACATAGGTATTCTGATATATAATCGGGAGTGAAAAAGTGGAAAAACATGGGATTGCTAGAATATACTAATGTTTGACGATGGCTTTGTAAAATACCAAAATACGGCATTAGACATGAGAACATAAAATATTGTGCAAAAATCCTAAAGCACCCGTCATTTCTTTACATTTTGCTTCCAAAGAGCCAAACTTTCATGTAATTTTTATGAGTTTTCTTTAAGCAATAGCTTCAGGATATCCAAATAAGTCAAGGACAAAAGAAGTGGAAGGCCTAAAAAAAACAAAAAACATTAAAATGGAGGAACACTATCTGAAAACCATGTTAAGAAATAGGAAGAAAAAAAATTGAGCAAAGCTGTGACACAGGATCCGAGAGAAGCATCTTGTTATTCAGTTGATCTAAGAAACCATCCGAAGGTACTGAAACAGTGAGGAAACTATATTTCCATGTATGTTCGCTGTATGTAATTTTCCTAGGAAAATACAAAGAAATAGAGGGTGATTTAAGACTTTTACACAGTCTTAAATCCCTGTGTAATTTACATCAGAAAGTCATAAACATACCGGGCACAATAAAGCAGAGCATGACATCACTGTGAGCCCTGGTGACATGGATCAGTGTGGATCCTTCCAAAACAATGTAAACCTCTGCATCTTCTGGCGCAGAGTCAAAACCATCCAGCAATGCAAATACCTTTGCTTCGCCCTGGGATAAATGAAGGTGGAAGAGGTCGAGAGGAAAAACAAAGAAGAAAGACGCTACCGATCAAAAAAACACATCTATTGTTAAGTATACAGGCTCATTTTAGAGCAAGACTTTATTCTGATTCTGATGTTCTAGATTTCTGTAAAGTACACCAAATCCCCTGATAGCATTCCTCTCGAGGGTACAATAAACCATCCCTCCTCAATAAAAACAGGAATGCCTTAGCGCCTCCTCAAAGACCCGTCCTGATCCAGACAGGCTACAAGACTTTAGATTTCTCATTTAAGGCAAAAGAAAGAATGAAAAAAAGGTTTGAACAGTCACACAAATAATAATAATAATAATAATAATAAATAAATAAATCGACTAGTACACATCTAAAAATAAGACATCCTATAACTGTTCTGTTAATTATATTAAAACAATACAAGCCTTTAAGGATCCCAGAAATCTGATTTGCTGAGACCTTGAGGTTTTATATATTGAAATAATATTTATGTTATATTGAAAGCACAAGCTATTCATTTTTTTAACTTGTCAGCCAAAAAGTGGCAAGCTGTTCATATGGCAATTGTGAGAAAACAGCTGCTTATTCACACTTTCAGTAAATATAAACAACACTAGCATTTAATCAGTCTTCTTAGTAACCACTTGAGAAAGTCTAGCACTCACTCTTTACTCACAAGTATATATAAATACATCCACTATGTTCTTTGGCTAGTTGCTACTTTTTGCAGTCTCCAAAGTTTTTCAACAGATTTCTGCATCTTTGCACATTTCTGGGTCCATGCTGTTGGCTTCATGTGATGCTTCCACTTTGAATACGTGGTTATAACTAATGCAACCAAAAGATTTCAAGTATAAAGGCTGAACATGAACTAGCTTCACTAGCTACAAAATAAAAGCTTCCCAGGCTAGTTGTCTTTTAACAGAGCTGCTGCTTTTTCACCACCATCCAACAGTCACAGGGGAAGAAATCTATTGTAGACGATATCAATTTGTCCACCTACAGTGGCCTCAATAGACCAGTGTATTGAGGCCACAAGACATATTGTGTGGGTTATTCTTGGAAACCTATCAAAAGACTGACTGAGGCGGGAGTAGAGGAACAGGCCTGAGGCAAAAAAAAGCTGCAGCCAAAATGTAGGTCCTAAAGGTAAGGTTTACCGTGAAATGCAATATACATTACAGATTAGTGTAGATGGCTTAGGAGTGTATTTTCAGTAGTCTTTCTTTTGGCCTCAACAGCTGACCTGATTTCTCATGGTTAATAAAACCAGAGGCTTTTTGCTTTCACTCCTCTTATTGACTAAAATAAGGACACTTTGAGTAATCCTGCCTCCATTTCTCATTGTCTCACCTAATCTAACCTTTGCGTTCACTTATTTATTTCTTCATGTCTGGAAGATTTCTATTTGACCACAAATCCTCAAACGTCAACCAGGCTTCTCCTGGACCCTCATTAAGACTCTCTACATCTGTATGATTGACCAGACCGTGACCACTAATGGTAATGTGGTCACTAAATGAAATACTGGAAATATCTGTTGATAATGCCAGAGGCAGAAGAAGAATGGATTGGAGCAGACTTTCAAACAAAACTATTTCTGGTGCTTTCAATGATATGAAGTGTGCCAGTGTGGCCATATGCTACTTTTTACTTTGTCTTGCACCTTGAAGGATAGCATATTATTATGTGGATGTGAGCACATACACCAATCAGCTACAATATCAAAACCACTTGTCTCATACTGTTTAGATCCAAGTGATGCTGCCAAAACAGCTCTGACTTGCTGAGGTATGAGCATGAGAGCTCTGTGCTTGTCTTGTGGTGCCTGACAGGGATGTTGGCAGCACATCCTATAGGTCCTGTCAGTTGCTGGGTGGGCTGCCTCCAAGTTTGACTCGACCAGTTCAGTGATTCTGCTCCATTTACTGTTACTCAAGTTGTTCTGTTTTCGCGAAGGGGTGTGCTTGGTTTGTTATAATACTTAGGTTAATGTTATGTTTCAAAAATATTATCCAGAAAATGCAGAAATCCAGTGTCATACACTTGGTCAAATGCATTGTTGTGTTGCTAGGTGATCTGCACTAATACAACAAAGCATTTTTCTGTATGTGATCAAATTATCCTATAAAGTCTGCAAAGTTGCACCTGAACAAATCAACAGACTTCTGGAACAATGTCTTTTGGACAGAGGAGACCAAAGTGGAGATGGTCATAATGCACAGTGCCCCATTTGGCAAAAAACAAGCACAGCATATCAGCACAAACAGCCAAAGGACCTGGGCACATTGGAGTCATTGAGTGGAGCATCTGTATGCCAAAGTATTCTAGAGTCAAACTGTCCCAACAGTTAAAGATTGGCTGAAACTGGGTCATGCAACAGGACAATGATCACAATAGTAACAGACACACACTTTCAGACACATGCTTTTGAGTTTTAAAAATTGTAATAACTATCAGGGGCATGACATTAGTTATAGATTACTGAACTAAACGTGAGCAAAACATCTGCCTTTGATCTCGAAAGGAGCATGATTTTGCTTGCACTGTTTGGTCACCAAACCAATAAAAATAATATTTGACCAAAGTCATGCCCTGTTTGTGTACAGCTTAATCACAGGCAGCAGGGGTTCAAAGGGTTACCATGATCAAAAACGCCACATATCAAATACACAGCAATTACAATTTCTCTTTCATCAAGTAAAATACAAATAAAAAACATCACTGCGAATGAATCACGGAGTTACCAATTTGGTAGGTAGCTACACAAATGCCAGGATCTTATTGTCACCTATGTGCTGATAGATATGTTTATTTTTTTCCCTGAGTTACTTTGAATTAGCGTTCAACAGCAAAACAAACAAACAAACAAAAAAACAACAACACAGAAATGATTTATTCATATGTCTGAAAACACCATTTCCAACAACACAGTGAAAGGGTCACTGGGTTCACATTTAAATAAATCGTACAGAGAAACTACAGCTAACATGATGAACAGACATAGGAAGACATATCAGTCACACCCTTTCAGACACAGCACAATCTGTCAGTGACTTTCATTTTATAAACAAGGATGCTGATCTCTCACTGAATTCCAAACTCAATTTTTAGAGATTTTCCAGAGGGAAAACTAACTGTTGAGATTAATTTAAGAAGCTGATCTAGGCTGCAAACTGGGGCGCATACTTACATACAGAGGCACTTTCCTTCTGCTCAGTTCCATCTGCAGGGAAGACAAACATAAAACAAAAAGATAACTGAGAGACTAAAATGAAAAAGAGAAAACACACTGCACACTTGGAGTGGCCATGTGACTACCCATTACCTCTTTTGTTATTTTGGTTATTCTGCTTTTTCCTCTGATCCTGAAGAGATTACCAAACCTTTTATGTGCCGTGCTGAGTCAGGGGTCCTGTGATGAGACAGGATAATCTTTTGATCCCAAGAATAATGATTTTAATGATGATACTATTCTGCCTTGGTGTGTTGAAGCACCGAAACGCCAAATGTTCCCAAATCTGCTGTGTGTGTGTGTGTGTGTGTGTGTGTGTGTGTGTGTGTGTGTGTGGGAGACACCCAGGACAAGCATGGAGGCTGTGTGGTTCATCACTGAACGGTTTGTTGTGTTTACCTTTTTGTCTCTGGTATGGAGCATTATAGAACGGAGACCACAGAGCTGTGGGTTGCCCCACACCCTGAGAGAGCCTGTTTATTAGTGGCTTTAGTGTGGCTCACTGGTGCAAAGAGCGGCCCCTCCCGTGCAGCCCTGTCTGAGTCAGTTAACAGTATCATTATTTGACCAGTTTATGAGAACAAATGCACTGCACTTTGAAGGCAACCACTGTCCATTTATTTTACCACATGGTGCTCAGTTAGAAAGTGTTTGCAGACAAGTCGGCATCTTCCATGCAAACCATGGGCAAAGCAACCACATGGAGGTTTTTTTTGCAGGAACCACAGTGTGGCTGATTTTACCCAGCAACCTCCAGCATCCACTCATCAGCTGAGAAATGCACATTTTCCTTAACATCTGGGGACAGGAGAGAGGAACTGCCAAATCTCTACTGCAGTGTGACTGAGATCTTACATGTCAGTCACCTACCTGCTCTCTGTAACCTGCTCGTCCTCCCTCCTGAAGCCACACCATTACAGCCTTGTTTGTCTCACCTTTGGCTTCAGTTTAACTAACACTGAGAAGTTGAA